GCCGAGCCAGACGGAAGTCATCAGCTGGAACAACCACACAGGTCGGTGGTACCAGAGCAGAGTCACTGCAGACGCACCGTTAAAGAAGGAATTCAAAGGATGTTATTGATTCTGATTCTTTTATTGATTCTGGAAGCTGAAGTCTTATAAGCTCTGTTGAGTCAAAACCAGACTTTGTAAATCAATACATTACTAATTATACAGAGAGCTGTGGCCAGAACCAACAATCTGGAATAATGGTAAATACTAAAACATGAAGTCAACAAACAGATTCAGTGATGTCAGTTTCACAGTAATATCCCTCTGCAAAGCTGCAGCTGTACTAAAGTGAGAGAGTGTGTTTTCTTGTCTTTCGAGGTTCTATTTCTGGATTTTAAAACTTTTACAGAAAGATCCCCCTTCTGTGGAGGACAAGGGATGTCACAGGAAAAGTAATAAAGCTAAATAATTACTTCAGATTTAAAAATGGATTTAAAAAATAGCATAAAACACTCCTTAAAAAACATTTATAAATACATTTATTAATTAATGAATAAAAAATGTAATTTGAAAAGGCATTTTAAAAATGGGAATACATTCCTGGATTCCCTCTTCAATTTCCATTCCCCTTTTCTAACCGCTTTTCCTTTTCCTATTAGCTAATCGATTAGCTTTAATTATTTAGCTTCTCCTTTTAGCCTCTCCATGACACTCTGGGCTTCACTGCTGGTAAAACCCACTGGTCATGAATCAAAAAATGTATTTATAAACAGTTTATTTAATGTAAGTTTTATGCTGTTTGTGTAAATCTATTTTTAAATCAGTATTTATTGATGGATTAATCATTCATTTAATTTCATAATACCTATTAAAATATGAAATTAAAGAAATACTTTATTACTTTTTCCTGTGGCATCCCTGGTCCTCCATACATTACTGCCTCATAACAAACACAATATCACACCTTCAATATTCCCACGTCCTACCCATCCCTAAACACTGTCATAGGGTAACTGTACTGTCGCCTTACATCACCGATCAGTCTGCCATGCAATGCATAAACAAACGTCTAGATACAGACACTTCAACACCAACTTCCAGTATACAGCATGTGACACAGAATGTTAAAGCAAAACAAGGTGAGACAAGTGAGATAAAAGGTGGCAACCCTAGCACAAAGGACCACGACCACTTAATTAAGAACAAAATACAAATAGAATTAAATTAAAGGGTAAAGAAATGCATAAATAAAAGTTTATTCCTGTACCTATGTGATGGTTTCATCAAAGAATATTAAAGTAGATTTCTGATTCAAGAGTGTGTAGTTTCAGATTTGAGATAACATCCCTAATCCACTCTAGGTAAGTGTGGGTGGAACAGCTTCACTCCATCTCAAAAGTATAAGACGACATGCACAAAGAGCATAGACAGAAATGATCTTATGACCACCTACAGGAAGTGGTGTCCCTTCTGGAACGTGATTGGTTTGGACTCATTTTAACAGCAGGTAAAAATCGCAGAAAATGACTTGTGTTGTGTTTTTGCTTGTGAATTCAACTATTTATAGGTAAGAGGAACAGTGTGTAGTTTCATCTTTCAAAGGTTACAGTCTGGATTTAACTGAGAAAGTCAGTTTTTTCTCCTTCATAGATAAAAGTGGCTGGCACCAACACAGGAGAGGAAAAACACCAGACTTGACTATTGTGTCTCTCCCTGCAGGTTCTCTCTCAGAGCGTTTGGCTGTCTCTGCTCAGGTTTGCTGTCTGGAGGTAGCTCAGAACAAACGTTTACTCCTGTGTGGTCTGACCTCCGGCACTGTCCTCATCTACCCGTTAGCCATGCCCCAGGAGACACTCTGCATCCCCCCTCCAGAGAGCCTCTCCAGGGTGCTGTGCATGGCTGTCAGCTCCCAGGAGAAGCACATGGCAGTGGCCTACGAGGATTTGGTGTGTCTGTTCGAGATCACCACCAGAGACAGCTTTCCCACAGTGGAGGGGCCCCTGGAGAGGTTCCCCCTGTCCCTCCTCCACGCCCCGCTGTCCTCCATGGCGCTGCTGTCCGACCGCAGGCTGCTGTATGGAACGAGCTGCGGGGAGGTGAAACTCCATGACTTCAGCAGCGGCGGCAGCTCCAGTCTGGAGCCTCATCGCACCAGAGTGACCTGCGTGACGGCCAGTAACTGGGGGAGTCACGCAATGGTGGGCTCAGAGGACACCGTGCAAAGGTTGTGGGCTCTGAACCCACTGGCCCTGGACCACACCATGGAGTACAAGGTCAGGGGTTACTGAGCATCTGCAGCCTTAGAGCCAAAAAGACATTTAACCAACAACTCTGACAATAATTCAGAGACAAACCAAGAATAAGCAAAGAATAAGGCAACATTTTATTTTAACTAATATAACTTATACGTAATCAGTATATAAACATATAAATGGTTTTTAACTGACTACAATGTAGCTATAAGCAGATATAAGGACATTTATTTTCAACTGTTTATTAATGTACAGCATTTTCAACAATTATATCATCTCCTTTAAGACATATTTTATAATATTACGTTTGTGTTATGTGTCATTATCTGTTTATATATCAGTGTGTTTTCTAGTGTCACGCTATTGCTACATAGCCATCGTTAGCATTAACAGCTGTTTACTTACCGGTCTTGTCAAGAGCTTCAGCCATCGTGTTTAGAAGACAAGATGTTATAATATGTCCTCTTAGAAGCTACTTCTTCAGAATGGATGCTACAGTGACTCGGTATCGGAAAATGACAAGAAGAGTCGACCAAGCTGGAGTTAGCTGGTTAGCATGCTAACTTCATTAGAAAAGAAGAAGTGATAGAGACAAGAGTTGGTGAACATTGGTGTTTGTTTCCACCTCTGGAGACAGATGTCGGTGAGTAAAGGAATGAAGTTTGATGCTTGGACTCACGTTTCTTCTAGACTGGTGAGTAAACAGCTGCTAATGCTAACATTAGCTATGTAGCAATAACAAATAGCTCCTTTAAGACTTAACTTGTATCTGTGTACAACTGCATCATAGGAAGTGTTATAGTAATAATGTTATCATTAGGTCCAACAGTAGGCTACAGTGTTCCAGTCCAGTTCATTGTGCTGTGGTTTTGTTGGTGTTCAGGGTTTTTTCTTCGAGGGCGTCCTCTCTGCTGCTTTCTCTGACAGCGACCAATTTGTCTTCACTGGATCTCAGGACAGAACCGTCAAAGTCTGGGACGTTGCTACAGGTACGTTCAGGTGTGTTTGGACATGCTTTCACTGAGGATGTACAGGAAATATCAACTGGTCTTAAAAAAACGGACTGACAGAAAACCAAACTTTCTTGAGAGTCAGAGGTTCGTATGTGCAGAGATGTTGGTTTTATCTTATAGTCATTTTCTAAATAAACACTACATGACATTCATTTTGGTTTTACTAAGTTTATGTTGTGGTCTCTATTTTTAGTTGTTTGTATTATTGAATAATGTGATTCTGAATGAGGTTTTATTGCCCCTGGCACAGAACCTAGCAGTTCTTAAGCCTCTGCTCAGTGAAGTGTCACTCTGATGTTGTAGTGGATTTCTTCCTTGTTCAGGGAACCTGTTGTACGTTCAGTTCGTCTACTCACCTGTCGTCAGGATGGTGACCTACAGGAACGGCTTTGTGGCGTTGACTCAGCAGGGGTCCATCATCAGAGAAGTGTTTCGCTGTCCGGACCACATCAGTCCGGACTACAACCCTCTGAGGAACGTCAAGGCCCAGTACCGAGTCACCTCCAGGGAGAAGAACCGGGACGGCCAGCAGACCTCCGTGTCCGACCTCCAGGACTTTAACCCAGCCCAGTTCAACCTGAACCTCATGAGCATGCTCAGAGCCAAGCCCTCCTCCGCCTGTCTCATACTGTAAGACGTTTGGGCCCCGGACCTCCAGGGACCTCAAGGTTCTCTGAGGTTTCACGACAAATTAGGGAACAAAATATTTTCATTGTTAGGAAACGTATTTGTTTTATTCTCACTGAGGTTCATGTACTTGTTAAATATATAACACACACACCATCTATTATCATGTGAAAATTAGTGCAAATGTTTAGTTTTGATAAATCATTGTGAAACCAACTGTTATTTATAATCTGAAAAATGTATTAAAACATCTGTTTATGTTCCTGGAAATCACCGGTTTTTACCAAAATATGGCGAAATACTTTCTTCTGCTTATTGAAAGCAACTGCTTACATAGATTACAAGTTAAAAAATGTAAACAGCTTAGTGTGCTATCAACAGCACATTTACATAATTTAGCAACTCAATTCATCAGCATTCAGATGGACAGAGGAGACGTGGGTCATGCTTCAGAGGTGGTTTGACGTGAACAGTACCTGCTGTGAATCTGACTGCAGTTGGCATCGTCTGTGAAGAAGCAAGATACAAACTGTCCAGCCAAGCACAAGCTTTCCTCATTTTCTTGGTGCAGGTTCTAGGGGCTGAATGCAGCTTGTGAGGAAATTGTTGTTATTTGTTAGATAATTCAATGTAGGGCTGCAACTAACAATTCTTTCCATTATCAATTAATCTGCAGATTATTTTTTCAACTAATCGGTTAATTATTTCATCTGTAAAAGGTGAGGATAGATAGAAAAATGATCATCACATTTTTTCTTAAGTGACGTCACCAAAAGTCTTGTTTTGTTGGACCAACAGTCCAAAACCCCAAAATAGAAAACCAGGCAAAAACAGCAAAATCCCACATTAGAGATGGTGGAGCCAGAGAAAGTTTGGCATTTTTGCTAGAAAATTGTCCTAAATGGTTATTGTATAGTATAAATATGAATAATAATTCTTGTATATCCTTGTAATTTTCTTTGTAGAACAATCTCTGATGACTGCTAATCATCAGGCCCTCCCTACTTTTAAAAGCCATGTTTGTTTACCTGAGTGAAAACGGCTCAGTCATAAACTCTGAGGACAGAGAAAAGCTCTTCCTGTGAATCAGAGCTTGTGTTGTCAGGTTGAGTTGAACATTAACAGCATTGTGCTGACCTGCTGATCCACCTGACATACCTGAAACTCTCAGCTTCACTCTGCTCGCAGTTTAACACTGAGAGTTTAAAGTTTTAAATCGACCACTGAAGCGTCACTTTTCAGTTTTTTTTTACAGGATTTGATTCTTTCAGGTTTCAGTACTTTGTTTTTTCTTCTGTCAAGAGTTGGAGAAACAACAATGGGGAAACCCTCTGCAGTGATTTCCTGCTTGTTGCTGATTGCGGGAGCAGTGACGGCCCAGACAGGTATAAAGTGTGTTGACAGGTGGTTATACTACTGCTCAAAGAATATGTTAGATTTAGTTGATCCTCTGAAAACATATCAGTGACTATCAGCATATTTCATTTTACTTACATATATATATTCCGTTTACTGTTTACATTTGAGAAGCTAAAACCAGCAAATGTTTGTCTTTTTTGCTTAAACAAAACGATTAATGATAATGAAAGTAGATTTTCTATCATTCAACTAATCCATTAATCATTTTATTAATTCAACTGTAGAATATTCCTATCAATGATTCGTTGTTTATAGAAATAAACAAACAATATCTGCTTTATATGAGTAGAAACTGAATCTCTTTGGTCCATTAACCTTGTTAAGAGAAAATAAGCTGTTTGAAGACATCAGTTTGGACTCTTTATTAATCCCTATCTTACCTCTGATAACCACTAAATATTAACCAAATACAATGAATGTGATAACTGAATTTTCTCCTCACATCAGTTCTTATTGAAAAAGGCATGTACATATCACATATCATACATATCATATAGTATTCAGGAAGAAAGTTTAACTCATATTTGGGCAAAATAGGAACAATTAATGGATTACTATAGATTTGGGCATTTTTAACGTTTATTCTTCAGTGGTTTGCAGTTACAAAACCACTTTAAGTTTAACAAACGCCATTTTTACCTAAGTTAAAAAGGTTCAGATTGAACTTTTATTGCAATTAAAATAGCTTACCATAATACTGTTTGGTTGAAGACAAGCTAATGCTTTAGCAGTTAAAAGAGTTAAGTTCAGGTTAGTTAATGGTTTAGTTTAGCAGTAGTGAAGTAGTTGAGGAGTCTTTGAGGTGTACAGTTTACAGGTACAGAGAGAGACACACAGATTTAACTGACCATCGTTTCACACTGAGTTTGAATGACCTCTGATCTTTGACCTCTGTGTCTGTGTTTTAGATCAGAGACAGGTCAGTGAGCGCCTGCTGCCTCAGTGGCTTACTGGCATCATCGCCGTTGCCGCCTTCCTTTTCCTCACCTTCGTCAGCTTCCTGGTGAAAAAGGCCTGGTGTGAGGAGTCCAGTAGGTCAGTCAGACTCATCAGTTTTAGTGATTTCAGAGAAAAACCGTTCAAAAAGTAAAGACAGTCACAGTCATGTCTTAAATGTCCGAACTAAATAATTGATTTTATAATCTCTATAATGAAAGTTTAAATAGTGAGTTTCCTTTGTTGTGCAGGGCGGCGACCTCTGTGGAGTCAGAGAGAGAAAATGATTTCGTCATGACCAATGGTAACACCTATGAGACCACCCTGGACATGGTCAGGTAAAACCAACAAGTCCTCACGATACTTAAATAATATATTGGGTCACCATCCTGACCACAGCAATATTCTGTATTCTTTCTTACTTTGCAAGCTGTATTCAGTTGTACTGTTTGCTGTAATAAATCCAACATTATTATAACTAATATTTTAAAGTTTTAATGACAAAGTTTGTGCGTGTGTTTGCTGATCAGGAGCAAAGAAGACATGAACGCTTACGAAAACCTGGTGATTGACAGCACCACTGACAAAGTTACCGCCATGTGACCAACCTGAACTGATCCTATTGGCTGCATCAACGTCGTCCTCAGCATTACTGGACAGACACACAAGACACACATATGTTTATAGTAACAAATGAACATTTACAGTTGATTTTTTTATTAATTTTGTCTGTTTGTTTTATCATAGCTGTTGTCCCAGGTGGGTGGAGTTTACCATGATGAACTTCAGATATCATCCATGTTGAATTTACGTACAAATATATTCTGTGACTGATTTTTTTCTGCTTTGACTGTAGCACATTTCTAGGGAGAACCTGCAAATCATTTAGCAGAAAGTGTGAGATTGTATGTATTTTTTACATACAAATTTTCTACAACATAACAACATAATATGTATTCCTGGCTTTTTAAATCCTCAATCACCTCTTGTTGCAGAGATTCAGAGCAGCTGACTGTCCTGTGAGCTCTGTGCTAATTAATAAGTTATCTTTTTTAACAAACTGCTGTGTCGGCTCTTGTTACTGATCAGTGAAAGAATAACCTGTGATTAATAATTAAACAGTTTTACAGTAAAAAAACTACTACTTACTCTTCAGATTAAGATTTTAATATTAAGATTTTACATAACATAAAAACATATAAGCTCCAGTAATACACATTGCTGAAGACTAAATCAGTTGTTTCAATTTCAACATGTGACAAAGTTAGAAAAAAGCAGTCTAGTTGGGTTACACTGAATTTCGTTTTTCTTTCCTCTCCCATGAATTTCCCCAACTTCTACTTGTAATGCTGACAATGGTGTTGACTTGACTGCTCCACAACATAGCCTTAACACCTGAGCCTGAATTCTGTCTAACCTTTTTATAGATGTACATGCAGCTGATCCAAATACTATACAACCATAATCTAAGACTGTTCTAATCAAGGCCATATAAATATTTCTAAGAGCAACTCTATCAGCTCCCCACACAGTACCTGCCAAACATCTCACAATATTCAAAACTTTTTTACATTTATCCTCTATTTTGTCAATTCAATTTTTCCATGTGACCTTTTCGTCCACCCATATTCCTAAGAATTAGAATTTATTTTCCTTAATTTTTAGCATTAATTTTTTAAACTGACATCTTCTCCTACTACTTTCATTCTCAATAATATACTTCATTGAAAAAGAATTCGCAACACAAACCCGAATAGAACGAGCAAATAAAAAGTCCATAATCCAATTATATACTTTACCTCCAACACCTATATTATCTAATTTTATTAAGAGCTCTTCCTTCCACATCATATCATAAGCCTTTTTTACACGAAGAAAACAGCTATAAAACACTCTCTATTTGCTTGAGCTTTCCTGATGTCAGACTCCAGACATGACAATGGATCTATCATCTAAAGTACTGCATCCTTTTCTAAATCTACTCTGACAAGCAGTGATTATTTCATTTTTTTTAAATGTAGTATGTTAGTCTTTCCGTAACCATTCTTTCAATAATCTTGCACACATGCGATGTCAACGCTATAGGTCTATAATTAGCTGGACTAGTAGGGTCTTTCCCAGGTTTTTTAATGGGAACAATGACAGCGTCTTTTCACACAGCTGGAAGCTTACCTTCCCACCAAATATTATTATACATCTCCAAGACTTTTCCAATGCAATATCACTTAAATTCGATACCATTACATAACATATATTATCCTTACCAGGAGCAGTCATTTTACACTTATTAAGAGCCCTTCTCAACTCTTAAATGGAAAAAGGAAGATCTAGAGCACTCTGAGATACATTTCTTTTCTCGTATACGTTACGGTGTTCATCTAATACTCACGCCTCCTAATCTTGCCTTCTATTGTTAAATTATCTGAACTGTGGTGCTGAAAAAGAAGGCAGTTGTTTGACAGTTAGTTTCTTCGTAAATAGTTTGATTTAAATCCTTTGTAGTGTTAAGGTTAATTTTTTAAAATAGAGTTAATTGTTTATTCCCGTCCCCCTTTGTATCTGTCAAGGCTAGCTTTTGTCAATATAAACCCCCCTTGTGTGTCATTTTTTAGGTCAGCTTTTGATTAGGTCATTATAGTCTGCGTTATGTTTAGTTGATCTTAGTTTAGTAAGTTAAAGGCCCTAGTTTTGAAATTATTTTCTCTAGTTTCTGATTTTTGTATTTTGAGAAATTAATTTTCGTCACATTGTTTTTGCTTACACACCTGGTTTCTTGAGCCTTTCTTCTCTGGTCCCTGACATATATATATATATATATATATATATATATATACATATGCCTTCTGGTCAAATGCACTTTTTGTTGCTCGGTGGCACCCATGCAAAGGTCATGTTAATATCTATCATTGACACTTAGATGGGATCAAGTATGACAATTTACTTACTGACTTATATCACTGCCAGAACGATTTATACGACATTATTATTACATTATTATATTACAGTATGTGTATGTGAAAATGATACATAATATATCATATACATAATAATAAAGTTGTTCAGTTAAGTTTTTATTTGTGTTAAAGTACTGGGTAACTTGATTTCAAAATACTTGAGTGTTCAAAAGTACATTTTTGTCTCAACATATTGGTGTATTGTTCCACGATTACAGAATCTAATGACTCTGAAACAACCTGACTGAACTGATTGTAAAATCTGGAGAATAAGAGCTTGTGGAATATGATACAAAGACTGTGGCATGGACATAAAAACAACTGAATCAACAAAAGGAGCCATTGTTTTTCTCATTTGTTTTAGTCAGTGATGAAGTCTGGTTGTGATAAACATGGCAAACATTTCAAACTAAATGAATCTTTCTTTAAACCTTCAAACACAGACTTCAGATCTGGTGAAGAATCTTCTGCCTCACCTTTATCTAATGTCGCTATCGTTAGGACACTGACAGGTTCAAACATGACTGACAGTTTTCCTGTGGTGGACACTGTATGGTCAATCACATTTTCCATAATAGAAGAAAGTTTATTCAGTTGACTTAAAGCTGCTTCAGAGTAATGTGGAGTCAAAAGTAGCCTACAATATTTGTCTTTTAAGCTTATTGGAGTAAAAGTCAGGAGTTTCCAAAAAGAATATTACTCATGTAAAAATACTTGAAAAATATACTTAAGTACAGGACTCAAGTAAATGTACTTAGTCACTGTCCACCCCTTCTCTTTAATGGTTCTGGCAGCTCTTTTTTTTCTTTTTCTTTTTTTTTTTTATTCTCAAGTCTATGGTTCTCAATAAAACAGAAAGAAATAAAATTGTGGTATTTCACGTGACCTTTCCCTCCACATACCTTAACCCATCGCCCTCCATGTTTTCATAAAACATTACTGAGATTTAATTTCATGTGTCAAAAGTCTAATGTAAACTTGTGTCTGGAGGAGGAAACAGTGTGAATAGATTTTTGCAAAACTGTCATGTTTGTCATAGTCACATATTGAGGGTAACTCTCATCATTTTTAAATTAAGAAACAGAACAGCTCTTCAGTTTACCGCAGTGAGTTGTGTGAATAACATCCTGCTGTGACACAGGTGAACTAGCGCTACGTGAAGTAGACGGTTGTGACTGTCACCGGCAGCTCACGTTGACCGTCAAGTCAGGCGCAGTCAGTCGAAGTCAAACTCCAACGCACCTTTTGAATGAATCAAAAATGCTTGATCGTCATGTGATTCCTTTAGACCTCATATAGTTACCGGAAGTTCGTAGAGGGAAATTTGAAAACGTACATACAGAGACAGAAACGTGATCGTTGTTAAGACATATAATGCTTGCTTACATTATAGTATTATCGTTTACCATACACTTTAATTTTCCCCCTGAATTTTTTTTTGTTTTATTTTTTATTTTATTTTTTCATATATTGTTTTTCTTTTGTGTTCGTTATTGAACTGTATATTTGTTTGTATTTATGCTTTCTCTGATGAGCTGTTTGCAATGTCCATGCTTGTTCATATATACTTTTCTGAACATTTAAAAAAACAAAACAAAACAAAAAAACTCGAAGCTTCAAAACGGCAGTTAACAAACCAATGGGTGACGTCACGGTCTAGTTTCGTGTCAGTTAACTAAAATATTTTGAACCTTGAACCCGACAAAGAGGAGACATTTTCCAACCGGACTTTGCTTTTGAAATCATTAGTGTTCCATGAGTTTCCCACTTTCGCTGTGCGCGTTCCCGCGAAGAGCGGGGTGGGGTGGGGTGGGGTGTTGGGCACAACAAGGAAGAGAAACAAGAGAAAAATTTCAATCGAGTCGATGAATATGTGAAGGATTGTCCGGTAAAAGGAAGCTGGTGAGTCACATATATGTTCCCTCCTACATGTTTCATGTTGAAGTGACCGAGCTGTGAGCGCGTAGAGAGGCGGACAGACCGAAAAGAGACGGAGAAGCGCTGTGGAGACACCTGGCTCCTGTTAGTGACAGTTTGACTCACAGCGCCCACATACACACCCGAGCCCTGTACTGATAGACAAGTCTAACATACCCAGGATAGGTTTTCGTTATCTGGCTTAACTGAACATTGCCCCTCCTGCCTGTAGTAGGATACCCTGCAGTACTAGGGCATTTATCATTTATCATTTATCGCTAAGTCAACTCTGGGTTTATCTGTCTTGCCCGAACGTGTTCATGTGAAAAATTGTGAGTTGTTAATTATAAGCAACATCATCAGAACCAGTAATACATTTCTTAGAAGAAACGCTGATACCTGCAAGTAAATTCCGTTACACCAACATCTAAAAGTGATATTCAACCCAGGCTGCATTTCAAAGTTTATTTACCGTCGAATCAACGTCATGCATCAAGGACGAATCACCGTTTGATTAGGTTTCCATTTTGAAAGATGGATCAACGTCGAACGTCCTACCTTTCAACTTGAGTGAATTTACGTGCGTCAACTTTGAATTCACACTGAATTAGGTTTCGATTTTGAAAATGAATCAACGTTGAAATTGCGACTTTGTTTCAACGTCTTACTGTTCAAGGCTGATTAACTTGGTTTCATTTTCACTCAGTTGCACACAACTGTGCACTTGTTCAAATAGTTTGCAATTTGATCAACATGACAATAATGACAGAATCAGTGATTTACTGTACATATCTCAGGTTTTCAACTGTTACCAAACAAACCAAACAAAAATAAACACCTGACGTCAGTGGTAAACCCTGAATATAATCAAGTGAGACTCCCTGGAGAAAAAAAATTATGGCATCTGTCACAATTTATCTACCAGAGATGGAAGGCCATTTTTCCACACTGTATATCTTTTATTCAGTGAATAAACAGACCATTCAACAAACCGTAGTAGGAGACATTTTGTATGGGTTTGTAAGAACTACATTTGAACGACATTTGTCTATGACACAGAAATAGAGGCTCTGTTATTGAGCTGAACACACAGGAATCTATGGCTCCCACCAGCCTGCAAAAAGTAAGTGCAGGCCAGAACAGACCTATAGAGATGGTTCAACAAACAGTACCACTGAGAGCTAAACAACTAATCAAAATATTATCAAAATAGCAATATGGCCAAGTGCAATATCCAAATTGATGATGTGCCGGTTTTTTATAAAAAGTAAAATGTGTCACAACAGTTCATAAATAAGTGTTGTGGTGCTACATAGATGCCTTGGGCTACAAACCACATTTAAAGGAACATGCTTCTTTGGTACAAGACCCAACAAAAATCACATCAGTGTTATTTTTTTCCAGTGAAAATGAAATGAAAAAACAAGAACATTCAAACTGAAATAATCATAACATGATTTTTTGCATATCGTTCAGCCCTAGTAACAAGTGGCATTTTGTAGAGGTTTGTAAAGAGACCCATTTACAGAAGAGGGGTGCAGTCTCGCAACTTCCGTTCCTCACTTCCGTGCTGGGGTTATGTGTGGAGCGGGGTGGGGTGGGGTTGAGAGGCGCTGTCCCCCCAGTGTCCATTCCTCAGGGTGGGTATGTGTAGGTTGAGAGGCACTAGAGAGAGTCATGAATCTGCAAAGTGCACAAGCCCTCTGATTTGTTAAGCCAGGAAACCACTTTGTTGTATATGGATCTATTATTGGTCTAGGACCGCCACTAATGAGAGTTTTTCTATTGATTAATCTATCGACTATTTTATCTTTTAGTCGATTAATCTAAACAATGAATTTTCCTCCAGAAAACCCAAATAACACACTGACATGGTCAATAAGCCCAGATTCTGACCTAAACATTTTCTCAAACACTTAATCAGTGTAATCTAAGGCGGCAGCAGACAACTTTATGAATAAACAAGACTAATAGTGAAGGGATTTGAACTGCGATGTGCTCATCCTCCCAAATTCAGCCACTGACCAGCTGTAGGGATGGGTATTGTTGGGATTTTGTCTTTGCCTTATCCATACACTTATTGATCCAGCTCACACTATTACTGATTCTTTTTCAAAAAAGAATAAATACAGAACAGGATTAGAATTGATTGGGCTGGATTGTCTCAACCAGTTGTTCAGTTTAGAACAACCTGCCACATTTTAAGATCAGTGGTTAACTGAGATAATCAATTAGACTTACATACAGACAGTTTTCCTTTTAGCTATTCATCACTGTTCACTATGAGCTTAACCAGTGTGATGGGGCAAAATTATTCATGAAAAACATAACTGACAATGAAGATAGTTGTAAGTTGTAGCCGTACAGAGGACACACACAGATACATTAATGTGATAGATGAATACGATTTCATGAGCCTTAATATAATACTGGTGAATAATGCAACAATGTGTGGCAAAAAAAGTTACTTACGTGTGGCAACCTTCCTTAATGTCACCCATTTGTTTGTTAACTGCCGGTTTGAAGCCTCGAGTTCAGCTTGATGGACGTCGCCATCTTGGTTTTTTTAGCCATACAGTATTTTAGGCATTATCAGAGGCATTTCCGATACTAATATTGGTATGGAAACTACTCTGGAGGCTCATGTGATCTATCACTGTTACATTTCTAAAGTTGTAGAGAGTGATGCATAAAATATATTTCCATAGGCGACCCTGTACAATTCAGTATTCTTTTTCTTTGTCTTCAGAGTCGGTTTCCAGTTCAACATGTTTGCCTGAATTTCATTGTGTGTTTGAGTCGGAGCTGCATTTGAGTGGCTGAGAGATGGGTGGAGAAAGAAGCTGTGCTAATCTGCATATTTGATTAAACTGACAAACTGAAAACTCATCTCTATTCCTCAAAATTACATGAGAAAAAAAGTCTTAAAATAGCATTTAGTATTTCGTAATCTTGGAATGCCAGGAGAGGAACGTTAAAGTTGCTTATACAGTGTTCATTTGTTTCGGTCAGTGTGCAGTTTATTTTTGCAAAGAACCAGGGCTTTGAAATGTGCTACACTACTTTGAATCTGTGCTCCCTCTGCCCGCCCCATTCAGAAGTTTCTAAAGCCACCGCTAATGGTGGTCATTGTGCGTGTGCCTCCAGTGTTACAGGATTACCTCTCAGACTGATGGAAGATGAGTGTTTTGGAGGAAGAGAAGGACGGATCAGGGTCTCCAGCATGGATGAAGATTGATAGGTCCAAAGAGAGTCCTCCAAGCTTCAGTAATGAACCTGGACCCTCAGACACAAAGTAAGAGACTGTTTCTACTGTGTACAAACAGATTGGATATGAGTATGGTGGGGGCTTTATCCAGTCTACTTAGTCAATCTGAATCTTATCGTCTAATCCCTTTTCAAACCTGAATTGTTTTAGCTGTCAGATGAAACTCAAAGGTTGAACTGAGACTACTGTTGACTACGAAGTCAGAAAAAGTTCAGTGTTGGTCTTTACTGTTGACAGCCTGCAGCTCCAACCTCCCAGCTCCTTGATCCAAATACTGAAGGTCTTGATGCACAATTATGAAGTTTCAGTTAGTGATCTGATGTGAATGACATTTCACTGACTGTGTGATCACTTTCATCAGGCAACACTGTGTGCAAATCATGCTTGATGTGCCGTTCAGTTTTCTAAGTAACTTCATTTACAGACTGGCTGTTTCTTCACTCTCTGGCCCAATGTCCCATTTTGTGACAGGCATGGCATGTGGATTTTGCAGCCGAGCAATGTTTGTCTTTACTGTGTTGTATTTTCCCCACACATTTTCTTTTGGCTCTTGCATTGCTGTGTAGTGTTCTGCTTTTACTGCTGTGCTTGTATGTAACTGTGTGTACAGTCCCTACTGCTGCTCCTTGCAACTCACGCTGAGCGCTCTTCAGAAACCTGCGGGTGATGTCACGGAGGCTACGTCCATCTTTATTTACAGTTTATGGTGAAAACGTGTCTGCTCATGGATGACTTTTCTGACTTTACTCGTCAGCATGACGGCAGTGTTGTATCAGTGTTCATCCTCAGCCAGCAAACTGCAACAACTTCTAATGTTTTTGGCCATAACTCAATTCATACACTAATGAACTGCAAGTGGACTGGCTGGTTGAGGCATACAACTGGTTTAGCGAACAGTCAGGGTGACTTGCTATCTGATTAGGTAGGCAGTGTTGTTAAAATCGTTTTGTTACAATAATCGCTGAAAGCTTCGTCATTTAAAAAGAGGTGTGTTCATGTCCACAGAAAGAGGAAGAGGAGTGGTGTCTCTGTGGAAGAGCAGCTGTCCTGTTGTGCTCTGTGTCAGGATGTCCCGAAGGATCCAGTCTCTACCAGCTGTGGACACTCGTTCTGCAGACAGTGTATCACCTCGTACTGGGACCAGTCTAGTTCATCAGGAGACTCCTCCTGTCCCCGGTGTGGAAAAAGAGCCAAAACGAGACCTGGACTGCAGACAGCCAGTCGGACCAGCAGTCTACAAAGTGAGACTGATCATCTGTCTGCTGATGTCATCATTTCTGAAACCAGGACCTGTTGTTTTATACAGAGTTATTTGTTATGTATCACAGCATTGACATTTAAGATGATTTTAATACCACAACATTACAAATCTTTTCTTTGCCTGACACTGTCTCTTCTCTTTCAGCAGATGGTGGTCTGCAGGAGGTTTTAGATCAACATAAGATCAGTCTGAGGAGCAGATGTGAGCGTGTGACTGAAGGAACCGATGGAACAGGAAGTGGAACCCTCCTCAACAGGATCTACACTGAGCTCTACATCACAGAGGGACAGAGTGAAGAGGTCAATACCCAACATGAGGTGAGGCAGCTGGAGACATCTTCCAAGAAAATACCCTCCATGACACTCCAATCAAGTGCAATGACATCTTTAAGGCCTTACCTGACGAACAGAGACATGGAGTCTTTAAAGTCTTACCTGACCGACAGAGACCCATCAGAGTGGTTCTGACGAACGGCGTTGCTGGGATTGGAAAAACCTTCTCAGTGCAGAAGTTCAGTCTGGACTGGGCGGAGGGATTGGAGAACCAAGATGTCAGTCTGCTGGTTCTGCTTTCGTTCAGGGAGCTGAACCTGATCAGGGATCAGCAGTACAGTCTTCTCAGGCTGCTCCATGTTTTTCATCCAACATTACAGAAGGTCACAGCAGAGCAGCTCGCTGTCTGTAAAGTTCTGTTCATCTTTGACGGCCTGGATGAAAGCAGACCGTTACTGGATTTCAACAACATGGAGGTTGTGTCTGATGTCACACAGAAGTCCTCGGTCAACGTGCTGCTGAAAAACCTCATCAGAGGGAGACTGCTTCCCTCGGCTCTCATCTGGATAACTTCCAGACCTGCAGCAGCCAATCAGATCCCTCCTACATGTGTTGACAGGGTAACAGAAGTCCGAGGCTTCACTGACGCTCAGAAGGAGGAGTACTTCAGGAGGAGATCCAGTGATGAAGAGCTGTCCAGTAGAACCATCTCACACATTAAAACATGCAGGATCCTCCACATCATGTGTGAAATCCCAGTCTTCTGCTGGATCACTGCTACAGTTCTGGAGCACATGTTGACCACAGACCAAAGAGGAGAGCTGCCCCAGACCCTGACTGCACTGTTCTCACACTTCCTGCTGGTTCAGACAAAGAGGAAGAAGAACAAGTACGATGAGGGACATGAGATGAGTCCACAGGAGCTGACGGAGGCTGACGGGGAAGTTCTTCTGAAGCTGGGGAGGCTGGCGTTTGAACATCTGAAGAAAGGAAAGACCATGTTCTACCAAGAAGACCTGGAGAAGTGTGGTCTTGATGTCATAGAGGCCTCAGTGTACTCAGGACTTTGTACTGAGATCTTCAAGAGAGAGAGTGTGATCTTCCAGAAAACAGTCTACTGCTTTGTTCATCTGAGTATTCAGGAGTTTCTGGCTGCAGTCTACATGTTCCACTGTTACACCAACAGGAAGACAGAGGTACTGAAGAACTTCCTGGGGGGAAAACATGTTGGTTTGACCCTGGATGTCTTCCTGAGGTCAGCCATGAGGAAATCCCTCAAAAGTAAGAATGGTCACCTGGACCTGTTTGTTCGCTTCCTTCACGGCCTCTCTCTAGAGTCCAACCAGAGACTCTTAGGAGGTCTGCTGGGTCAGACAGAGAACAGTCCAGAAACCATCCAGAGAGCCATCAACAACCTGAAGAAGATGAAGAGTGACAGAGTGACTCCTGACAGAAGCATCAACATCTTCCACTGTCTAATGGAGATGAATGACCACTCAGTTCATCAGGAGATCCAAGAGTTCCTGAAGTCAGAGAACAAATCAGACAAGAGACTCTCTGTGATCCACTGCTCAGCTCTGGCCTACATGCTGCAGATGTCAGAGGAGGTTCTGGAAGAGTTCAACCTGAAGGAGTACAAGACATCAGATCAGGGACGACTGAGACTGATCCCAGCTGTGAGGAACTGCAGAAAGGCTCGGTGAGTCCAGACATGAGCATTATAATAATCAATCAGTAGATTGGATTAGTAGTTCCATGAAATTCAGATATACACAGTATCCATTTATTCTTATTATAATTTTACATCAAACATTACAGGTCATTTGTGGTTTAAATGCTCTGAGCGCCCAAACTGTAGATTTTTCAGTTGGTTGTGATTGTTGTTGTCAAGTTATTAAGTTTATTGTATTAATTGTTTGATGCTATATTTGTCAGTGTTCGATGTTGTATAGGCGTCTTTTTGGGTTTATTGAAATCTGATAAAACAAATTAAAGTGGGACTCCACTGATCTCACTAGATGTAGTTTGCACTTCAAAGTGTTGACAGAGCTGATCATGTCGATTATTGTTTTGTTTTTTCCCTGCAACTCTAAATTCAGTTCATTCAGAGTGCCAGTCAAGTCAGTGAGAAATGCCAAGTCCATGAGCCACTGCTCATCATCCAGCTGGGCGCACAGAGCATCTTTAGACTGCCTGAGAAAATCTTTCACTTCAGGCAGCAGTTCAGAAAATCTTACCAGAAACTTGCCTCTGCTTAGCCATCTGACGTGGACCCGTATGCAGCAGCAATTCTGTGTTCTCCGCTTCAGTATCTTCCACCTGGGCGGAAAATAGCCTCCTCTGAAGGCTTCTGGCGCAGATGGAGTTCACAATCTTGACTGCTGCCATGATTTCAGATTTATTTTTAAAATCTCTGAACAGAAATGCCTTCTTCACCAGCTCACCATCTTTGAAAGGCTTTTTATGTTTCAGAAGTACGTGACTTACTCGATATGATGCAATAGTGGCTTCTTTTCCCCTCATGTTGGGCCTCTTGAAAATGGATTGCTAGATGAGATTTCAGTTCTTTAATCTCCATAGCTCAGATTTGGCTGGAGCACAAGTCTGAATATATCAGATCAGAGTGGAGAATTCTTCTTATACACACCATTGGTCTGATGACATTCTGTGAAGACGATGCAGCAAACAGACATTAGATCTAATTGTTCACTGAGTTAAACTCAGTCAATTTCTAAACAGTGGACAGTAAGAATGTTTTTCTAAAGAAGACGCTCCATTCTGACTCTGGGGATCAAATCACTTTATGAAGCCTAAACGTGACGTCATTTTCACTCCGTCATCTGTAGAACAAAGATTCCCATTAAAACAAAAAAAATTATTGTTTCACGTCAAACCCAATAAGATGTGCTGAACCACAGATATGAAGAGCAGATGTTCATCAAATGATGTCATGTTTTGTCATCATATGCATCGTCTGTATTTTTATTACAATTTAAATCTGATTTTATTCTAACACATTTTATCACTTCTCTAATCACAGGCTTGTTGATTGTCAACTCTCAGAGACTCACTGTGAAGTTGTGGCCTCAGCTCTGAAGTCCAACCCCTCCCATCTGAGAGAACTGGACTTGAGTGAAAACGACCTGCAGGATTCAGGAGTGAAGCTGCTGTCTACTGGACTGGAGAGTCCAAACTGTAAACTGAAGACTCTGAGGTCAGTTCACTAACTGAAGCTGTTGTTATGAGTGCATGAATTATTATGAAGTTTCTTACTGAGCATTTTTCCACCTCAGCCTGATGATGAACAAACATGTTATGAACATGAGATACAGATAAAACAGTTAAAGTTAATGTCAGACTGTTTCTGCTGCCGAGAGGAGAAGGAAAAGAAAAGTAGTTGATGTCTGATGAGTCAGTCTGACTGAAATGTTCATTTATAATCATGGAAATATTTAACAGTGTGTGGATCATTGTTGGTTTAGTTTTCTCTTTTTCACTGAGTCTCCTCATGTTATTCTGAGCTGTAGTGATGAAGAAGAGTTAAAGCATCATCACTGTCAGAAATCCTTCCAGTCTGATTAAAGAATCTGTGTTAAACTAAAATGAAGCTATAATAGTTATTATATTTATTTAGTGTGATAAACTCTGTGTTTGTTAGAAGCTATGTTTTAACACCAGAGTGGACACATGCAAGGTCTGGAACAGCAAAATGATTCCACTGATTTATATAAATGTCTGGGCATACTATTCGTTATTTTTTTATCACTTAATTGTTAAGTTTGTTCCAGGTATCTGATTGGTCAGTGGTTTGGCTGTTGACAGGTTTTGATCTGATCCTGTGCCGCAGCAGGTTAGCAGTTCAGCATCAGTTACCGTGGTGATTTACCATGAAAACAAGATAACCATTGTTGTAAGAGTGAAAACCCAGAGTTGGCGGGTTGTTAGCATGCTGGTGGCTGGTGATACTTTACTGAGTTTAACTTTTTATGGAGGGTTGTATTGAGTGAGCGGGTGCAGGTACAGAGGGGATTGGTTCTGGGACATTGGGACACTGTTGAAACTTCTGGGTGTCATGGGCCCAACTCAATGAAACAGCAGTTACTGAGAGGCTGCCCACCTGATGACCCTGTAGACTGACTGCACCCTCACACTCACACAAACTCATTTTGACACCGTGTTACCGTTGTTGTTGTTCAGTTGATAAGAGGTCAGGGCTATAATTCTTTCAGAGTGGTTGATAAGTTGGGGATATTAGTGGAAGTAAGACTGAGTGGGACTGATTCTCAGATGATGCCGCCTAACAGTCCAGTTGGGCCAGACACTATAGCTTAAAGCAACATTATGCAGCTGTTTTACCTTAAAATAACAAAATCACTTTGATGGTACGCTGACTGGTGCGGTCTGAGTTTCATACATCAGGTTCAGTATCTGTTTCCTTGCTGAGCTGCAGTAGAAGGACAGTAACTCAAAGAAGGAATTTTCTACTAAATATTCTGTAACTCTGGTTGACACAATGGATCTGTCTGACTCAGACTGTTGAAGCTTCATTCAGCTTCAGCTGAACTCATCAAGTCATTATTTTGAATGTAGATGTGTGAGGAGGAGACCACTTAACCACTTAACTTAACAGGACTGCAGGAAGGATTACTGCCACCAACAACTCTTTTAATCTACATATGACGTGACTGTTTTAAGATAAAAAAAAAAAAGTGAACTTCTCATTTTAATTGCACAAACCTTCTAAGCTACCAAATATATTGATTCTATATTGACAGACTGAAGTCAGCAGTAGCTGATGAATCTGTGTTGACATGTGACTGACTGTTGTGGTGACATTTGGATGATGTGTGTAGAAGGCTGACATTATGATGATCCACAATAACAGAAGGACAAAGTCACTCTACTCATTTTAGAAAAAGCTAATTGATTAAGACATATCTGATTGATAATCAGTGATTTTTATCTATATGTTTTATTCTTTATTCAGGTTGAGAGGCTGCAGTTTGTCAGAGATCAGCTGTGCTTCTCTGGCCTCAGCTCTGAAGTCCAACCCCTCCCATCTGAGAGAACTGGACCTGAGCTACAACAGGGACCTGCAGGATTCAGGAGTAAAGGGGCTGTGTGGTTTTCTGAAGAGTCCAGACTGTAGACTGGAGACTCTGAGGTCAGTATGTTTGTTGGTTTGTTTGTTTGTCAGCAGAAAAACTGAACTGATTTGCACCAAACTTGGTGCAGGGGTAGGTTCTGGGCCAGGATTTAATGGGCCCATTAAATTTACGAACTGAACAATTTGGTGCAGATCCAGATAATCATCTGGATCTGACAGATGTGTAAAATAGTTTGGTTGGAGGAGGTATGTGCTGTACTGAGTGCTAGTCTAGATATTATTATAATTATCACAATAATAATTATTATTATTCTCATTGTTATTATAATTGTTACAATAATGAAAATGACATTTCTGCTGAACATTTTCCAAAGTTTTCCATTAAATCATCTGTAATTTGAGATTAAAACAGTTGAAAGCAGTTACAAAGTTTTTGTTCAGTTGAATTTGTGTTTGGTTTTGGATTTCCTGAGCTGATCTGCAGGATAGAGACCAGGACCAAGCAAGACCTTTTTCACTGGATCAGGACTGGATCTTTAAAGTCTGATCATTTTCAGTCATGAAAAAAGTATTGTAGTAAGTTTTTAGTCCAACGTGTATGATCTGATATTGATTCTATATTGACAGACTGTACTTAGGTCAGCAGCATGTGATGAATCTGTGTTGACATTGAATGATGTGTGTAGAAGGCTGACATTATGATGATCCACAATAACAGAAGGACAGAGTCACTCTACTCATTTTAGAGAGAAGATAATTGATTTTGACATATCTGATTGATAATCAATGGTTTTTATTCTTTATTCAGGCTGCGTGACTGCAGTTTGTCAGAGATCAGCTGTGCATCTCTGATCTCAGCTCTGAAGTCCAACCCCTCCCATCTGAGAGAACTGGACCTGAGTCACAACCGGCTGCAGGATTCAGGAGTGAAGGGTCTGTGTGGTTTTCTGGAGAGTCCAAACTGTAGACTGGAGACTCTGAGGTCAGTTCACTGTGTGTTACTGTTGTAGAGAAATGTCACTATTGGGGAAATTGTACTTTCAGTGCACTTCTTTACTTGATCTCCTTGCACTTATCGAATAGATGTAGTACTTAGTACTTACACCAAGATCTCCTACTGCACTGAAGCTTTAGTGATGTCCTCCACTGTAAGTGTCTGCTGAATGAATAAATGTCAATGTGTCATTTTTGTCAGTTTCTCAGGAAATGTTTGGATCTTCATATAAAAATCAGACTTATCTATGAGTTTGTACATTTTGGTGTGGATCCAGACCTTTTTACTGGATCAGGACTTGATATTTAAAGTGTGATCCATTTCAGTCATGATTAAAAGTATTGTTGTAAGTTTTTAGTCCAACGTGTTTTATTCTTTGTTCAGATTGATGAACTGCAGTTTGTCAGAGATCAGCTGTGCTTCTCTGGTCTCAGCTCTGAAGTCCAACCCCTCCCATCTGAGAGACCTGGACCTGAGTGGAAACTGGGACCTGCAGGATTCAGGAGTGAAGGATCTGTGTGGTTTTCTGGAGAGTCCAGACTGTGGACTCAAGGCTCTGAGGTCAGTTCACTGTCTGTTACTGTTGTAGATCTTATATCTTTATCCCAACAACTGAACCTAATTTATCTTAATACATAATTTGAATCCATTCACTTAGAATTAATTAATTAATGACATTTTAAACTGTTGTCACATATTTTAAGACTGAGAATTATTCTTCAGTTTCAGGTCATTTCATTGAGTCCTGACTAATGTGCATTTGCTGAAATTGTGTGTTTGTGTCTGTCTGTGTGTTTTGATCATGATCAAGTGTGAATTTTTTTGTATTTTGCATTGTGTAATTTACTAGTGTTTACTAAATGTGCTAAGGAGGAAAAGTCTTAAAGGACCACACTTGTTGGTTTTACAAGGTTCAGTCCATTTACTACAAATCCAAATCCAAATGTACTGTAAAGTTTCCTGAGCTGTTTTGAAAAGTGCCAACAGATTAATGTTATTACCTCCACCAAGGACGTTATTTCTGTTTAGGTTGGGACATATGTGACTGATAATCAATGATTTTTATCTATATGTTTTATTCTTTATTCAGGTTGAGAGGCTGCAGTTTGTCAGAGATCAGCTGTGCTTCTCTGGCCTCAGCTCTGAAGTCCAACCCCTCCCATCTGAGAGAACTGGACCTGAGTGACAACAGGGACCTGCAGGATTCAGGGGTGAAGGAGCTGTGTGGTTTTCTGGAGAGTCCAGACTATAGACTGGAGACTCTGAGGTCAGTTCTCTGTCTGTTACTGTTGTAGAGCTTATATCTTTGACCTAATTTATCTTCACACATAACTTGAATCAGTAAATTTATTTAGGGATATATATTTAACTGGACCCAAACACAGACAACACAAAGGGGTTGGTGAAAAGAAAGAGCTTTTATAAACACAAAAGTCCAAACACTTACAGGAAGTAGGTGAATAACTTGAGTTCAGGGATGAAATGCAATACTCTGAAAATTCAAATGAAACTGGTCAGCAACAATCACAGGAGCACGAGGAAAAATCAGGGAAAAGTGAAGAGTTGGCTGAGGACAGGAGGTGAGAAACACAGGGGAACAGCCTGAGGATCAGACAGGGGCAAATCAACAGGCCTCAGGTGGACAACTCAGGGGCAGAACAGAGGCTGAGCAGAGGAATTGGGCTGGAGACAAAGGCTGGGCAGATGGACTGGGCAGATGGACTGGGCAGCTCGAGAGGATGGCCCAGAGGCCGGACGCACAGGTGGAGCCCTTCTGGTGGGCGTCGCCAATGATGATGGCGGGACCTTTCCAGATATCGAGCAAGAGGCTGACAGAGAAGACTGGATATCTCCGGAGGTCAAGCTGGAGGGCAACAGCGAAGGCGGGGTCGCCTTGAGAGCAGGGTTTCTGCAGGTTTCAACACTTTAAATTTAAGACTTTTTAAGACCTTTAAAAGACTATTATGAATGAAATTTAAGACCGATTTCATGTCCACACTGGTAAAAAAGTAGAAGGGATATAAAAGAAAATCGGAGTCATAGAATTACTTGCAATTAAATGAATTTATTCAAATTACGAAACTGTGTATTCACATTCACAACTGTGTGAGAAAGAAAAAGGGATTAACACAGCAGAAGTCCTATATAACAAGGCCACAACAACTCAACAATTTAATGCCCATCAACTGCACTGTGTGTGTGACTAAGAGAGACATAGAGAGACTTGAGTGACTGAGTGAGTGAGAGAGTGACTTGTTTGTGTGTGTGTTTTTGTATTGGTTGTCTATAGTCTATATGTATATTTGTGTATGCAAAAGTGCGAGTTTGTGCGTGTGTGTGTGTTAAAGAATGCTCTGTCTATGTGAGTGGGCATGTCTAAGAGAGCAGTGTGTAGCGCTGGGGCCATGCAGAGGCATTGCATGCGACTCCAGTGCCTTTACACCAAACGTGCCCAACTTCACTGGACTTCATATTCATTGTTTTTCACTGGTTTCAGTCAACGATTAAATGCCTAATTTTTGAGCCATGAAGAGGTGTATGAATGATGTGCTGACATTTGGATGATGTGTGTAGAAGGCTGACATGATGATGATCCGCAATAACAGACGGACAAAGTCACTCTACTCATTTTAGAAAAAGCTAATTGATTAAGACATATCTGATTGATAATCAGTGATTTTTATCTATATGTTTTATTCTTTATTCAGGTTGAGAGGCTGCAGTTTGTCAGAGATCAGCTGTGCTTCTCTGGCCTCAGCTCTGAAGTCCAACCCCTCCCATCTGAGAGAACTGGACCTGAGCTACAACAGGGACCTGCAGGATTCAGGGGTGATGGAGCTGGCTCATCTTGTGGAGAGTCCAGACTGTAGACTGGAGACTCTGAGGTCAGTCGAGGGCTGGAGTCAGTCCATAGTTGGTATCAGAGCAAAGATCCAGTGTTTCCTGTAAACCCTTAAACTTCTTAGTATTCCGTTCCCATGGAATATTGTTGTGGGCCTGCAAAATAAGAAAAGTGGACTAAAAGTAAGAATAACATTCCTTCCCTAGTTGTGAGGGAGAGAAGATGACAGTGCACATCTCCACCTAAACCCTAGGCCTAAAACAATTTAAGCAACTTTCTGATCCAGATATGATTAAAGACTCAAATTTGTTCTGGTTCTGGTAAAAGCAAAAATAGACAAATATTTTCCATCATTGACTGATCTGAAGGCCGTCCGTCATCTTGACAGATCAGAGCAGAGTTACACATTTACATTTACTCATTTGGCAGACGCTTTTATCCAAAGCGACTTACAAGTGAATAGACAGCAGGTACATGGTGGAAGTAACTAAATTCCCCTCAAAGTTTTACTATCCGGGCGCTGACAGGACGTTAATGACGGATGGAAAGAAACATCAGCAGCCATTTGAGAATGTGGCTTGGCATACCAAAGAGCTTCAGGAGTATTAATATAGCTCAGAGACCGAGCTCCAGCTCTCGATCAAGGGCCTAGTCCTGGAGTTTCAGGTGACCAAGATGAGGCTGATGTTGCATTACTGCAAAGACAATAAGGTCAGGGCAGCAGGAATAGAATTCATAATAGTAATAAAACCTGATTATTTTCTACTCACTTTGTAACTGTTGTGGTTGTGTTTGTCTACACAGGGTCGCCATGAACAGGGTGATTAAAGATTCCAGAGACAAAACCTGTGAGTACTGAAACACTGTCTCCTATTCATCAATCTGTTGTCAATACAACCGCACTGTAAAACAAGCATGTGCTCACTTCATCAATATTAAGAACAACAGGCTGTTTGTTTTGAGGGTATTCTGATCCTTAAAGTCTGAACAGGTCCTGAATTTGAAGGACAGAATTTGCCTGCATATTAATGTTTCAGCTGACAGTAGTACAGTCGAGGTCAGAAGTTAATATACACTTTAGCCAAATCAATTTAAACTCTGCACAATCCATGACATTTAATCCTAATAAACATCACTGTGTCAGGTAGGTTGGGATCACTGATTAATTTTGAGAATGTGAAATGTCAGAATATCAGTAGAGAGAATGATTTATTTCATCTTTTATTTCTTTCATCACATGCCCAGTGTGTCAGAAGTTTACAGACACTTTGTTTATATTTGGCAGCATTGTCTTTAAATTTTTTTTAACTTGGGTCAAACGTCCCAGGTAGCCTTCCACAACCTTCTCACAGTAAGTTGCTGAATCTTGGTCTGTTCCTCCTGACAGAACTGGTGGAATTGAGTCAGGGTTGGAGGCCTCCTTGCTCGCACACAGCTTTTCAGTTCTGCACACAAATTTTCTGTTGGTCTGAGGTCAGGGCTCCTGACCTCAGACCAATGTCCTTATGGAGGCAGGAAGCACAACTGGAGGCTGCATTCAGAAAAACACATTTGTTACCAGACGCATACAAGACCGCAAATGGGGTCAGAATGAAGCTGATACTTTGTATGTTTTCTATGAAATTGTTTTTAAACAAAAGCAAAACATGAATTTTAAACTATTTTCACATTTTCTAAATTTTTCTCAGTGAGTTCACAGCGTGCTGCTGAACAAGATTTGTGCTCACAGGATCCATCGTCATTAAAGAAACTGTTGACAGATCATTTTGATCAAGATGATTATGCTTTTTCAATAATGGCCTCTGTGTTAGAGAGAATGTCTGTTGTTTTTCAGAGAAAACAGACTTTAAGTGTCACTGCAGGTCTGATCCACAAACATTAAACCCGACTGCATCCCATCAATGCAGCTGATGCAGGACCAAAATAATGATACCTAAAAACAAATGAACTGCTGACATGGAGCAGAAGTTCATCATCGTTCTCTTCAGATTTGACTTTCTACAGTATAGCTGCTGTTTATAGCTGCTGTTGGCTCATATTCTCTGAACTCAGATCTGAGGAGGAACAGTAAACACTGATTTCTGACATCTGCTGTGTCTCTTCTCCCCCCATCAGGTGACTCTGATGTCACACTGGACCTAAACACCGCAGAGACAATGATGGATGTGTCTGAGAATGACACAAAGCTGATGAAGGTGAGAGATAAACCATTGTGTCCTAATATTCCAGACAGATTTAAGGGCTCAACACACAGCAGGCAATAGAAAACACATATTCAAAGAAGTCAACTTCACTGTGACATCATAATGTTCTGCAAGAACACCTCTGGCCATTATTCAACTTAGGAAGGAGAGCTTGTGACCATATTTACTGACTTGGCTGGTTGGTGGAGGAAACAGCCAGGAGGTGGGAATTCTAGTTGATGACTTTTATGCTTTCATAACTTTTCAAACTTCTTTAGTTTAAGTCAGCTGTTTGGCTGTTTGATGTCTTTTGTTCCTTTTAGGATGTTGAAGTTAAAGTCTGTTACATTTTCTTCTGCTTCAATTTTTTTGTAAATAATTACAATGGCAGCTTATACTTGTGTCACACTATCAGTCCACCAAAACGCTCTGTTGTCTCTGACTTGTGCACTGTGCTTCAGTTCAGTGTGAAATGTGTAAGAATATTTGTTTTTTGCTGTTATTAACACAAGTTGGTCCTTTCTAGTAAAATAGCTGATGATGTTTCTTTCTGAATAACAGCCTCCATCAGACTTCATGCCTGAGCTGCAAACTGAATCTACACAAGTCTCACACAGGTAATCATATAATAAGAAGCACTTAACAACATTTTAGGCAAAGTACCTCCTTCTTTCCCCACATCTTTCCTCTTACGAGCCACAGCAATCCTGATGTTCTCTCTGCAGTGTTGGTGGTCTCATGGATGGCTCTTGTCCCCCTCCCTCAATGTGTTAATTGTTATGACCCCAAGGTCATAAAGTGAGATTGTGTTTTCATACGCACCCGTCCCAAAGCAACACCCCATAAGCACCACCACGCTCACTAACGCACACAGTACATGCATCCGCACATGCATCGTATGGGAAGCCACCACGTTCCACGCTTCGCAACACAGACAAAAGAGTAGATGCCTTCCCCTGCAAAACTTATTTTTATTGTAGTTATACTCTGCCCAATATTTGCAAAACAAAATCACTTAAATAAAGTTCTGTCACAAAACTATATTGTTACATATTCTTGCACATTTTTAAACGAGTAAAGGGATATCCTGGATACTTCTTATTGTGTATATGGCGTATACCTGCGAATCATGTTGACTACACCACTGCTTGTTCGTTTTGTTACTGCTACTGTGTTTCCAGTTTTCACCGTGTATTTAAAGGTCTTCAGACCGTCTTCTCTGATCATCCTGGAATGGTTTTGGGTATGGATCTCAGCGATAGTCAATTTGAAAGTGCTATTTGTAAGTGCTGTCATTGCTACATAGCTAACATTAGCATTAACAGCTGTTTATATACCAGTCTTGACGAGAGCTTGAGTCATCGTTGCATTTACAAGAGGTTATAATACGTCCTCTTAGCAGCTACTTCTTCAGACTGGACGCTGCAGTGACTTGGTATTGGAAAGCGACCACACAGTCCAACCAGCCCCGGGATAGCTGGTTAGCATGCTAACTTCAATAGAAGAAAGGAATAGAAGCAAAACAATAGGGTTGTTTCCACCTCTGGAGACAGCTATTGGTGAGTAAATGAGTGAAGTTTCATGCCGAACTCACAATGTTTCCTCTAGACTGGTGAGTAAACAGTTGCTAATGCTAATGGCTATGTAGCAATAGCAAAACTTACAGTTAACTCCTTTAAAGGTTCCCTTCGCAGTTTTTCACCAGTAGTAGTTGTTGGGACTCAGTACCAGTGTTGTGCCAGTTCACACTTAAAAAGAACTAGTTCAAAGTTCAGTTCATACAGATAAAAATGAACTAGTTCACGTTTATAGTTCTTTTTTTTTCTTTTTTAAATCTTTCTACCCATCCATCACCAGCCCCAAATCATTGCCACTCCCAAACTAAATGAATTATTGTATACCACTGAAGAATCACAGACATTAGTTACATTTAAGATCAGTATATAAATATAATCCGTCTGAGTCTTCACTTGTTTGTTCATAAAACTGCTTCAAAAATATGAACAAGTTCAATGAACGCCCTTCATTGAATGCGTTCAGGCACAACACTGCTCAGTACATCCAGTACATCCTGCTCAAGCCACCCAAATCATTGGACTCTTCAACAACACTGGAAATTACCTTTCTCTTTTGTTCCAAGGACTGGGTAATGTTAACTGACTGGGCCTAAGGTCAGCAGCAGAAGTCTTAACCTTTGTACAGACTGCGCGCACGCACACGCACACGCACACACACACACACACACACACACACACACACACACACACACCTGTATATACTCTAGATTAGACATTGTATGTTTTTGTAATTAATTGTAAATAAATGTCTTTAAGTATGACTACTGGTTATATTGATATTTTATTAATTCATGATAGCCAATAAATTGATAAACCAAAGAAGGCCCAACATATGGTGCCCCGCTTGTGAGGCAGAGCACAGACCCAACATAGTGCTATGGAACAATTTTTTTCATGAGTGGGTCCCCATTTTGAAACTTTTAGACTGAGCGCAAACAGCATTTCTGCTTCACTTTATTCTCTAAAGTTCATGAGTATGTGTAACAGGTTCATTGTGCTCATCCAGCCCTCTATGCCCTACAGGTTCAGGTGTCCTGGTCCAGGTGGGTTTCGGTGCACATCAACTGGACTAGTGTTTGTTATGGCTCAGGAGGCGGAGCTGTTCTACAGGATTGTCCAATGGGATGAAGGACTCCTCAATTTAGCTGGCAAGATGGCTGCAGGGCCACTGTTCGAAATCCAGTGTCCTGACGATGCTGTCTGTCAGCTCCACCTCCCACACTGTGAAACAAAAGATGGTGAGCAAATTATTGTGCTTTGTTTGAGCAGTGATGAAACTCTTAAGTCCTGTTAGTGCCCCCTGTAGGCTGCAGTCTGTCACAGACCCAGTCTCATCTGTCACATCTGTCCCAGCACCCACGCTGTGGTTTATGTCTGGTAACTGCCACACCTCCTATTAAGACCTCAAGCATGATGGGTTTCATCAGAGCTCACTGAGGCACTTGGTCAATGTGGCTATTACAAATACATGTCTCTTTGGAACTCAGTTTTATTAATTTTATTTAATTTGCACCCGCTTAATTATCAACCAGACAGTGTTCCAGTCAAATTGTGAGGAGTTATGTTATTAATAAAATCATGAAATGAAATTGTCTAGAAGCATGTGGGTACGCAGTATATAAAGAAGACGTAATGTTGCATTATTTTTGATATTTTCAAACTGTTAGGGAATAAACTTTTTTTCCCCAATATACTGGTAAAAGTATGTGAAATTTAATGTTCATGTTGATAGTGTCAGATATGTGATATAAATTATACGGTCCTCATTAAGAAGAACACTAAGCTCTGAATGCATCTTCTAAGGTATTAGGGAAGGCGTTCATCCAGTGTGGGTTAAGTGTACAGTGTGTTGGCTGTAGTCTATTACAGCTTGTGACAATGCATTCAAGCAGTGCTATTTGTAACTATTTGCTATCACTACATAGTTAGCACAAATAGCTGTGAGTTCAGCATCAAACTTCATATCTTACTCACCAACAGCTGTCTCCATCAGTGGAAAGTAACACCAATGTTAACTCTTGAACGTGGTTTTTGTCCCTCTGGGCAACACTGCATCTTCATCCTCTCATGTTGGACAAGTGGTGACCAGGGTGAGAGGGGTCTCTCCTGATACTGTCCGCCCGTCTGCAGAGACGGCTTGAGTGGATGTCTCTCCGTTTATGTAAAGGAGAGCTAACAGTCCACTGTGCTTTCTTCACCTCCCGCTGCAGGTCTTTCCTAATTAATCAAATCACACATTTGGAAAATCATGACACTCCTAGTAGATATAGAATATATGAGGTTGTTGTCAGTAAAACAGGTGTTGAATGTGTCTGTGTTTTCACAGCTCTGCTCTCTGAAGGCCTGCTGTCTGTCGCCCGCTGCACTGATGATGGAATGAGCATCCTTGAACCGCTGGAGATCACAGCCACTCATGTGATTGTCAAAGTCCTTCATCTCTCTAGGTTTGGCATAGTCCGGCCTTTGAAGGCTTTAAGGAGGTTTTGGAACAACCTGAACCCAACTAGTGGCCAAGTCTTGCTGTTCCTTAGAAAACCAAACCCCAAAACACAGAAGAAAAACCTCAATGTGCTTCTCTTTCCAAGCAACATCCCTCTGGAAGAGGTAAGACTTGTTACGGCTTCACTTTGAGTTCAAACCCATCAGTATCGATCAGATATTGTGATACATATCCAAAGACCAGTTACTCACCTGATAAAATGGCCTGCTGATTTATCAGTCGGAGTCTACTGAGGACTAACCATGTAATTACAATGTTCTTGTATCTTAAGGTGAGGAGAAAACAGACAAATTCTGGGTACATTCCGGCACCTTCCAAATGCGAACTCATCGAAGAACAAAGTTACACTGTTCACTGTCCGACGGCCTGTATAGTACAGCCTGAGGTGAGAATTTCAAATGAAATGTTCTGTAACATGCTGATATGATTCTTAAAACTTGTTTTAGTTTACTTTGGATACTTTGAGACACTGATTACTACTACTGCTACTGGTTTTCAGAAAGCAAAGTTTGACCGGGATGTTGGACCAAATTACCATTCAACGTTTGAGATCCGCCTGCCTACAGACACAGAACAAGTGACTATAGCAGTTCGAGATGAAACAGATACAGATGTCTGGAAGCACGATGCTGACCTGACTGGTAAAGTCCTCATGTCCCTGCAGGGGGGAAGTCTCTGAAACCTTGTCTTTCACCCCGTCAGAGTGCAAGGGCATTAGAATGTCTTTCTCTATTGACATCAGCATAAATGCTTCTAAATACTCTTGGGTGAGAGTGCTCCTAAGTCTGTTTTTTAAAAAACTTAGGTGTAGAGAAGTTACTGTCACAGGCCACTTGGGTGACTGATAAGGTCAGGAGAAACTCGGCAAGTCCAATGACATAATATGCATCACTCAAGAGATTATATCATGACAGGATGACAATTGGACAAAGTTTTCTGTGACGCTTGTCTGACTCTGCACTCATCCCTTCCAACTGCTGCATGTGTTTATATGATTCACGTATGAAGACTGCCGCGTCATTCAGCAATCCAAAAAGTGATGCAGTCTGTAGAACACTGCCTGTTGTCTCGGCCAACACCAGATTTAAAATATGTGTATAGCACCAGACGCGAATTTGGTTGAGAGACTGTTGTGAGAGAAAAGTATTTTTTTAAGTTAATTTTCTCTACTTTATATATATATATATATATATATATATATATACTCACCACACACGCACACACACACACACACACACACACACCACACACACACACACACCAGTAGGTTGAAATGTACTTTTTCTTGTTCAACTTATAGATGCCTGACCAACATGGACTGAGAATGTCCAAGAAGCAAAGAACCTGGCGTCTGTTCGGACAGATTTCATCGACAGTGTGTCTGAACCTCTTCTACATAAGCTGCTGGATAAACTCCTGGAGTGCAAGGTGGTAACTCAGGATGAACTGGAGGATGCTGGAACACAGAAGACCAGGGCAGACAAAGCTCGAGTGGTGATCAATACGGTGCTAAGAAAAGGACCAAAAGCCTGTGCAGCTCTGATTGCTGCTCTCTGTGAGGAGGATCAGTGTCTTTCAACAAAGCTGAAGTTAATGTGAAGCAGAAACAGTGTATATCAGGGTGTTTCACATCTTTAATTCTTAAGTTTTACCTTTAAACTTTTTCTCTATTGTTTAAGAACATTTGGTAAAAACTTTGGGATTGATAATTGCAAAGAAGTAAATCTTGCAAGTATGGAACAACTAAACACACTATATCTGGAGAGACTTAATGTGTTTTGTCAAATGTAAAACAACTTGCTGTGTATTTCCTTTTTTTTTTTACTATACTTTGTGTATATAACTTTCATTATTTAAAAAAAAAAATTCATGGTTCAGCTTATAATTAACAACTCCGCCTTTTTCACATGAACGCGCTCGTAACCGGACAGGTAAACCCAGGGTTAACTGAGCCAGTTAATAACCTGCTTCGTAGTACAGGTTATCAGGACGGTCAATGTTAGGTTCAGTTAACCCAGATAACGGAAGTTACGAAGGTAACTATGGTTCTGTTTCATTCCTTCCTGACTGCCAGTGGCAGTAAACAAAGTGGATGACTCTACCAGCAGACTCTACCAGACACTAGGAACTGATACCCACCTACTGTTCTGTTTGTAGAAGGCCAATGGAAGGACAGCTGATGCGAGCGTGGACCCAGAGGCCATGTTAAGATAGTAGAACCTCGTGAACGCGCAAGGCGGTGCAGCACAGATGTTCCGTAGTGATATTCCTCTCATTGCCGCCCAGGACGTGGCCGCACCCCTGGTTGAGTGACAAACAACATCTGAGAGGACTGGTTCACGTGCCACCTCGTACGCCTGTTTTATTGTTTCAACCACCCAATGGGAGAGCCTCTGTTTAGACAGCGCCTGCCCTTTGTTTTTGCCGCTGTAGCACACAAACAGCTGCTCTGAGCGTCTAAGGCTCTGTGTTGCTTCAACATATGACTGCAGCGCCTGGACTGGACACTGGCAGTCAGGAAGTAATGCAACAGAACTAAAAGTTATCCTGGGTATTTTGAACTTGCTTCGTAGTACAGGCTTCAGGATGTATCCTGTTAGCCACAATGCTCTAGTGCTGTCACGTGATTTCTCAGAAATGTTGAAGCCTTTCTCTTGTACATAAGTTTCACTGCACTTCCCCCTTTGACGGCAGCTCTGAACCTCGCCCGCTGCCCACTGTTACTTCCTGTTTTGCTAACTCACGGTGAAACTGACGAAGCCGTCAGACTACACAGCAAGATTCTCACACTTTAAACTCCTGATGAAGAGTCCGTAAGTTCAGTTTTTTAAATATTTCATCAACTTATGAACTTACTTCATCAACCAACAGATAAAACAAAACACAGAGCCTGTGTATTTGAATGCATTGTTCTGCATTAATCGACCTAAAGCAGACATCAGGTTGTGATGAAACTTGTTCTTTTAATGTCAAGACCCGAATCAGTAAAATGTTCACAGACAACCTGTTTGTTTTCCGCCAAAATATCTCCACATTATTAAACTGTTCTGTATTCTCCAGTTCAGACTCTCACAGCTCCTGTTTAAAGATCCTGAGGTCTGTACTACAAAGCAGGATTTGAGGTTATTGGGGTAACTTCAGGTTTAACTCTGGGGGTTCAGTCCTACTACAGTGGTTCACTGGTTACCGGGGTAAATCACCATGGTAACTTATGCTGAACTTCTAACCTGCTCTGGCGCAGTTTAACTTTAAAGGATCAATTACTGACCAATCTGATACCTTGAAAAACTGAGTCATCATTCCTACAGGATCCCGACGGGAATGATCAATAATAATGAGCAGTAGATATTTATATAAATCAGTGGAACAGTTTTCCTGTTTGGGTCTTTCCATGTGTCCACTCTGGTTTTGAAACAAAGCTGCTAAAAACTGCACAGAGTTTATCAGGCTAAATAACTATTATAGCTTCATTTTAATTGAACAAAGATTCTTTAATCCAACAGATTCCTGACAGTGTTGATGCTCTTACTGTTCTTCATCACTGCAGCTCAGAATAACATGAGGAGACTCTGTGAGCACAACTGGAAATAAAAACTAAACTTCTGATGTCTTTTAGTAGAAAAATTATCTGTTAACTATTTCCATGATTATAAATGAACATTTCAGTCGGCCTGACTCATAAGACATCAACTACTTATCTCCTCTTTTCTTTCTCTCCTCTCTGCAGCAGAAACAGTCTGACATTAACTTTAACTGTTTTATCTGCTTCACATGTTCATAACAGTTTGTTCATCATCAGACTGAAGAGAAAATACTGAGTAAGAAACTTAATGATAATTCATCCACGTATTTAAAATATATCCTTAATCTGACTTTAATAGTAATTATATTTATAGATTTTTTTTTAAAATTCTAGTTATGTGATAATACATTTCACCTTGTTGAATATCGCTTTTGGATGTGGTTATAACCAAATATACTGGCAGGTATCAGCGTTTCTTCTCATATCATATTAAGAACTTCATTCATGGTTCAGATGATGTTGCTTATAATTAACAACTCCGCCTCTTTCACATGAACGCGCTCGTAGCCGGACAGGTAAACCCAGGGTTAACTGAGCCAGTTGATAACCTGCTTCGTAGTACAGGTTATCAGGACAGTCAATGTTAGGTTCAGTTAAGCCCAGATAACTAAAAGTTATCCTGGGTATGTTGAACTTGCTTCGTAGTACAGACCTCAGGCCTCTGAACCACAGAGCTGTTGTGGAAACCACAGACTCTGGTGTGTGTGATGTGAACCCCTTTCTCTGGTATCAGAGTTCTGCATATTGTAGCCTATGTGTATATGTATCTCCTGAACCACCACATGGTGACTCTGCTGTTTATAAATGAACATCATCACAAATTTACATTGCCGGTGAACATAATCCAGCCAGTAATTACGTTTGTCATCACAACTAATTGTTTTCAAACAATTAGGAAAACTTCAGAGTTTTGGTATCACTGCTCTGAAGATGCATCGTGGCAAATGACAGATATTGTGGTTCTGGGGGGCATGTGTTCCCCTGCTGTCAAAGTATGGAGCTCTACTTCTGGAAGTTTGTACTCTCTGAAAATTATTTAGCATGTGTAACAGACACAATTCATGCATTTGAATGTTAAAAATAAAACCTTACAAAGTCTAAAACTAAAACTACATTTGAGAGTCCATTGCTTTTCAGTTTTTTGTTTTCCTTTGTCTTACTACCAATGTCAAGGAGCCAAGGCTCCATTTGTGTGTGTGGCTGGACCTCATGTTTAGGGCGTTAGGGACATGACTATGTTGTGCAGGAAGTCTTAACCCTCCTTGTTGTTGGAGGTGATATTTTTTAAGCTCTTATCTGTTTTTATGCTGGTTTACCCAGTGATCTACTGACTGGACAGTAAGATTAAAAGTTGGTGCTCATCTCTGTGGGTGATGGGCTCCTGGAAATGAGTTATGACAGTGACCCATGTTTAGCTAATTGGTGCTTGCAGCCCAGAATACGATGCCAACCAGACATTCCAGGCTGCTGGTTCCTGATTGCCAAGGGGGGTTGAAGGTTCAAAGGTGGCTAAGAGATGCATGGTTAAGTGGCCATGGCAAAGATTGGGGTTCCTTATCTTGAACCTCAGGATTTGCAGGTCACTGTGAGAGGTTTAGGGACCTCACTGATGTGTTGTTGCCCGGCCTTCCTGGGGGATGGTTGAAGACAATGCTGGTCGTACAGGACAGTTTTAATAAGATCATGTAGCAGAACGCATTGTTATAAGTTCCCTTTCCCTCTTTTAAAACTTGCCTTGACTATACAACTCCTGACAGAGCCTTTGAAAACCCCTTCCTATTTAGCTGGATGTTGCCTAGCAACACCAACAACAGAAAGTCATAAGCACAGGAATTATACACCAATCAGCCACAACAATATAACGGGTTACTATTTCTAATTGTTATGGCTGATTGGTCTATATCTGTGGCCAGTTTTAAGAATGTATTCTGAACTATTAGTAATTTGATTTAAAACTTAATCTGTAGTTTGAATTTTTTTCCACAGCTTCATGGCTTGACTCACTCAAAAAAATTCACAGATCAGTCACAACATTAAAACCAGTCACCTGTTTTAATGTTATGGCTGATCGTGTATTTATGATGTTTAAAAGAGGATAGTGAGATTAAAATTAACTACTTCTGTTTGTAAATTAACAACTGATATTTTTAGTTGGATTAGGTGTTGCCTTGGTTCCTTTGCCATCCATTATAACCATGGAATTAACCATTTGTCCAGTATTATCCCTTAATTGTATTCCAACAGGCACTAGATATAATTTAAAGGCCTGAGGATGGTTCTCATCAGATTTGTGAAAGGGACGACAGGACTAGAGAGACAGAGGTCCCACAATGCATAGTGAGCACAGCTGTGGGTAAACCTCACACACTGTCCTCATAAATACTTTGACACACAATGTCCCTGATGTTTCTTTATTATTATTGTGACTTATTGAATTATAAGTTTTACCTCTTTGCGTCTTTGACAGTTACTCTAATGAAAAAAGTCTTTGGTTAAACTGCTCACAACCCATAGACATACTCAACTTGTGAGGAGGTGCAAGTAGACCCGGCCTCATTTGTAGTGGTCACTGGTCAAAGATGTTTGGAACTAGACAGTACCCATTTCCTAGAAGTAATGTGGTGTTAACTAGCCGACACTATAGCTGACATCTGCAAATGAACTGTCCAAAGAGAAGCAGAAATCAGGATTCATAACCTATTATTTTTGTACTATAACATTTAATTTAAGGTAAACACAAGAAACTTGTGCTACAGAAAATGGACCAGACTCAGTGAATAGCTCCCTAAGCTTAACATCCTAAGTCCTATGATAAGTATTAATTTAGCTATACAGACTAATGAGCAGTGATAACTAACATGTCTTTGGGGTCATCAGGTGGGAACCTCCTTTCACCAGTGTTTCGTCTAGTTGGTCCCACGACACCTCCAGGAGGCTAGACAGTGATCACTGGCGTCCCAGAGTCACCCCCCTAATGCCAGCCATCACTGCTCCTCACACCACAACTATTTTCTCCTTTATCTTGCCTATGCTACCACAAACAACACTATCATCAACTCGGACAAAACACACTAGCAGATTCAGCAAACAAACTCCCCTAACCAGTTGGAGAAAGTGGCGGCCATTTTGAATGAGGGAGGTAGAGTCAAGGAGAGATGCCTTTTTAAGCTAAACTCTCCCCCACCGGATTAGGCTGTGCTCTACCTCCCCCTACTCCCCCACTCTCCAACAACTCACCTAAAACAAACAAACTCACCTAGACAGTCAAAGACACACTACAGACCAATTCAAACAATGCAACCAAAAAATACAGGCCACCTCACCTGGACTAACCGCATGGTCTCAAAGAGGCTCACACAGGCCACACCCCCCACTTAAAAACACTTCCTCTTCCTGGATTTTCTTCCTTGCTTCTCCTAAGAGTCTGTCTATCCTAAGTGCTCCCCCTGCTGGGCCCCCAGCTACCATTACTTCTTCTCATCCAAATCCACTGACTGGATCTTGCTGCCTCATCTGACATGTCCTTTACTATTTTCCTCACACTCTGTCCACTTCCTCCTAACTCCCTCACCAAAGAGACAACAGACCTTGCTACAAATCCTCTACATCCTACTTCCACTGGACAAATCCTAACTTTCCATCCTCGCTGCTCTGCTTCTGCCCCTAACTCTACATACCTGAGCTTTTTCCTTTCATATGCTTCTTCAACTGAAGCCTCCCACGGAACAGTCAGCTCTATGAAATATACTCTCATTCTACTCCTAGACCACAAGACTATGTCAGGCCTTAGCTTTGTACTGGCTATTTCCTGGGGAACAACAAGCTTTCCTCCTAAATCTACCTGCATTTGCCAATCACAAGCATCCTCTAAGCTGCCTTGCCTCCTTGTTGTCTTACCAACTTTCTCTCCCTCTTGAACAAACTTGATTGCAACTGTCTTTATTTTAGGCCCTCCTAAATTTGCCTGCCTCCGTAAATCTTCAATTCCTGCAGCTAAGCTTTTTAAAACCTGGTTATGTCACCACGTATACCGGCCTTGCAACATACTAACCTTACAGCCTGACAAAATGTGCTTTAAAGTTGCAGTACCTGAACACAATGAACATGTAATACTTTAAAAAAATATATGGCTGAATGTAATAACAAATAAGAATAATTAGATATGGTTGTGACTGCTAAAGGTAAGGCTAACTAGAAAAGTAGTTTTCTTGTAACACTGCATTTACAGGGTTAGCCTGTTAGTCCATCTTTTAACTTGGTCGTGATCTCAGTATCGCTCATTTCTCGTCAATTCTGAGAAATATTATTTTACATACACCTGTAAATAAGGAAAGCGTTTCCCCTCTCAGTGGCCTTGTTTGTATTCTGACTGATAAAACAACCAGACCAGTCACAAAAGCACTGGTGTAAATAATAAAATCAATCATGCCACACTTGCTCTCTGCACCTACAATGTCCTCTCAAAACTATCCTCACAACAGCACATACACCAGCTAAAAAGAGAGATAATAACTTATTTATCTGTTTAACAGATTTAGAATAAATGTAGGCTTTACAGGGACAAATGAGTAAAAGTGTCCTTAAAAAGTGTTTTAACAGTGTTTGAAGAAACGTTTTCAAACCAGACACCATCCTGAGGTTCTGGCCCCCCTTTGTTAAGAACCAGGACTGAGGAACAGGGTGAAGGCTGCCTTGGGATCTGAGTCTGCACTCTGTCTCATAACAAACCAACATGTCCACAATACAGTGATGTATGCCTGTGATCCAGACTGCTGCTCCTCCGTCACATTTTCCTGTGCTGAGCTGAGCAGCTCATTAGATGGTCATTTAGCACCATCTAGTGGACAGATAGTAGAACTACACAATCTGAGGTGTGATTTAGACTGGGACTGACCTCACTCTGTTGTTTTTCAGACTTGGACTTTGAAGTTATGAGGGTGTGACTCATCCTCAGATCAAATGCACACAAACACCAGGACTGATGAGGGAGAATGAGCAGCTTCTTCTCTACAAATGTTTCTTCTACACATGAAGGTGCAAAGTGTCTGTAAGTCGACCTGAAGTGAGTTCAGCAGGTGAGAATCCTACCAGAGAAATGTGTACATGATCACTGTGGTCACATTGTGTTGTGTCACTGTTTGTTGTTTCTGGAAGCTGATTGGCTGTATGATTTACATGTATTGTCAGTGGTTACTGTGTAAACAGCAGTACAACAGAAGGGCTTTAACCTGAGATCCTGTTATCAGTTTTCAGTTATCAGTGAAAAATGTACAGGTTGGACTCATGACTGAGGTGTATTTTATTGTCAAACACTTTACTGAGAAAATGTATTGCATTTTTGGACTTCATTCATACAGCACTTTTCTAGTCTTACGCAGCGCTTTACACTGTACACTGTAGTATCATACATACCGACAGCACACCCATTGGGGGAAGATTGGAGTTCAGTATCTTGCCCAAAGACACTTCAACATGCAGACAGGAGCAGAACGTGGACAACCCACTTTACCTCATGAGCTGTATGACACTAATTCAGTTTTCTGAATTCAGTTTTCTGAATTAGTGTCTAGGGCCTGTTTTTGGGACAGGCTTGTTAGAGACAGGGCTTTATTTCTAATGTCTCCATTTCTCCTCTTAATACAAACTCAACACTTTCTCCATGTTAACCTGTTGTCCTGATAAATTCATTTCCACAGCACTAATTCATCAGCACAGCAACAGAGTCATGTCAGCAATTCATTTCCCCAACAAAGATGAGCTGCCATGAATCAAACTCAACATTTCCTCCAGAGCTTTCACATCAATAGTCTCACCAGGATTTCATTAATAAGTCAGTTTTTAATCTGAAAAACATGAGGAAGTCTTTGGTTGGGTGATGGTAACTTAACATTGATCAGGAGCATCAGAACAGAAGAGGTACTGGTATTAATTAGAGCATGGAAACATTATTTCTGTTGAACAGAAACTCAGAGCAGCCGAGTGGTGAGTAGAACATGACTGTTGTTGTATTAATGGATTAGTGCTGTGAAAATGGACATTAGTCTAGATTCAGCGTGTCATATGGTATAGTAGACTAAAGGTAGTTCCACCCTCTTCGGTGTGTCTTTGTGGTGCCTTAATATTGACCAGCCTTTATATGTTCATGCATTACAGGTTTTTATATCAGTATGCAGTACATTATTGTTTTTACCACTATTATTGGCACTAATAGCAGTAAACAACAGTTATTGTCTTCAATTATTCATATATTATTGAGGTGTCATTATGACTGTAGTAATACAATTCATAAGTCTTACCTGGACAGAAGTTCAAATGTGGTTTGACTTTTATGACTGTGATTAAAAGCATGAGATGAACATCAGGTAGATGTACAGTACAGTGTAAAAGTCTGTGCTAAAACTCCAGACTTTCAGAAAAGGCCTTCAAGTATGGTTTACTTTAAACATACGTTCTGTTTTCCTGGATTGTAAATCAGGTCATACTCTGCTACAACAATGTTGACTGGTTATAATCCAGAAGAGTAACTGTGCAGTTCTTTTTTAAAGTACAGATTATTTTGTCATGCCTTTTGGATCTTTGCAGGGAAAAGATGGCGACACCTAAACAGATCCTCTTGATGACTTTGGAGGATTTGGGAGCAGAGGACTTCAAAAAATTCAAGTGGTTCCTGCAGCAGAAAGAGGTCCTAGAAGGCTTCCCATCAATCCCGAGGACTCGACTGGAGAATGCAGACAGGATGGACACAGTGGATCTAATGGTCCAGACCTACTGTATAAACACCATTAAAGTCACCAGAATGGTTCTGGTGAAGATGAATCAGAATGATCTAGTGGAAAATTTCACAGACATCATCTCAGTACCCACTGGTAAGTTATGGAGAGATTTAAAATGGGATGTTACAGAGATATTGAGGAGTGATCAGTCAAAGGAAGGTGGACTTGTTTAGATGGGTGGGGAATCACAGGTGTTTAATCTCTGTGGGGTCATTTGCAGCTTGAGAGGTCATATGTGGGTCAATAGTCCCCCTGGCTGTCCTGTGAGAGTAACTGGAGTCTCATGATTAAGATGTGAATGTGCCTTAACAGCTTCACTGAGCTCTGACCAAGCATCAACATCCAGGGCTGAAAAGCACTGAAGAACCCAAACCTGCAGTTCCTCTAATGACTACTAGAGTCTGGCTCCAACAGTGAGTCAATCCCCATAGACTCCCATGTTAAAATGTCCAACTTTACAGCAGAAATAAACATGGTCTACTCTAAAACGGGCAATATACATACAATATCAATGAGGCCCTAGTACTAACCTCGGCTAAAGAGGCAGGAGGATGCTAACAGTTCATTAGCTAACTTACCTTTGCCAGGGTTACTGATGTGTGGGCAGCTTGTAGATTTGTACACTTTGCACCCAAGCTGTTGATAAGAGTGCATGGGTGTCCAGTGATTTATAATTCGCACTCATATATTGAAAGTTATGTACTGAGACCAAACAGGAGTTAGCATAAATATCAAGATGTTTCAGTAGAGTTAATGTTAACTAAGTGGAGGTCTCCTCATTCCTTCTGCAGATCCCAAACAAGATCATGATTCAGCAATGATCATCAATGAGATGAGCGTGATTTGAATATGTCTGAACTACATCTTTTTTAATTAACCTTCAGTATCTGTTATAAACTGTCAAAGCACAACCATCTGACTTAAAAAGACAGAGATTTGCATCTGCATTTTAAAATACTACAATGAAATATGAACAAAGTGTCAGGTCAGAATTTTACAGTTCTGTGAATATGATCAATGTCTGCATGATCCAACTTGGACAAAGAATTTGAAAACTAGCAATAACTGTTGTATGTGCTATTCTGTGTTGATGCAATGGTGTAACTAAACACAGCATATACAGGCATTGACCAATACCCATGTTACAAATTAATAATTAATTTGAAAATACAATATCAAAACAGACATGAAAAACATATTCTGTGTCCAGAAGCCATATCACTTTTATTTTTAAAGGTAATGGACACTGGTACAACAACATTCACTGCCTCTCAGATTCATTGATAACATATTCTGGTTTCTTTTGAATTCATGTTGAATGTTTGAATCTGGTGAAATTATGCATGTAAACCTCTGGAGGAGGTTTACAAAAGTCCTAACATGGAGAGGTTTTGGTCTCTGGAATGTTTCTTCCATTAAACCTTCTGAACGAATAGATACCACACTCATTAGAACATGTTTTCATGATTCATGTTTTCTATAGTAACTTTTGTTTCCTTATTCATTCAGAGATTCTCACTTACTGCCAACGTAAACTCAAATCTAACCTGAAGAAGAAGTTCCAGTGTGTGTTTGAGGGGATCTCTAAAGCAGGAAACCCAACCCTCCTGAATCAGATCTACACAGAGCTCTACATCAGGGGGCGGACTGGAGAGGTCAATGATAAACATGAGGTCAGACAGATTGAAACAGCATCCAGGAAACCAGACAGACCAGAAACAACCACCAGACAAGAAGACATCTTTAAAGTCTCACCTGGAAGAGATGAACCAATCAGAAGAGTGATGACACTGGGAGTGGCTGGCATTGGGAAAACAGTCTTAACACAGAAGTTCACTCTGGACTGGGCTGAAGACAAAGCCAACCAGGACATACAGTTCACATTTCCATTCTCTTTCAGAGAGCTGAATGTGCTGAAAGAGAAAAAGTTCAGCTTGGTGGAACTTGTTCATCACTTCTTCACTGAAACCAAAGAAGCAGGAATCTGCAGGTTTGAACAGTATCAGGTTGTGTTCATCTTTGACGGTCTGGATGAGTGTAGACTTCCTCTGGACTTCCACAACACTGAGATCCTGACTGATGTTACAGAGTCCACCTCAGTGGACGTGCTGCTGACAAACCTCATCAGGGGGAAACTGCTTCCCTCCGCTCGCCTCTGGATAACCACACGACCTGCAGCAGCCAATCAGATCCCTCCTGACTGTGTTGACATAGTGACAGAGGTCAGAGGGTTCACTGACCCACAGAAGGAGGAGTACTTCAGGAAGAGGTTCAGAGATGAGGAGCAGGCCAGCAGGATCATCTCCCTCATCAAGACATCACGAAGCCTCCACATCATGTGCCACATCCCAGTCTTCTGCTGGATCACTGCTACAGTTCTGAAGGAGGTGTTGAAAACCAGAGAGGGAGGAGAGCTGCCCAAGACCCTGACTGAGATGTACATCCACTTCCTGGTGGTTCAGTTCAAACTGCTGAACGTCAAGTATCATGGAGGAGCTGAGACAGATCCACACTGGAGTAAAAAGAACGGGAAGATGATTGAGTCTCTGGGAAAACTGGCTTTTGAGCAGCTGCAGAAAGGAAACCTGATCTTCTATGAATCAGACCTGACGGAGTGTGGCATCGATATCAGAGCAGCCTCAGTGTACTCAGGAATATTCACACAGATCTTTAAAGAGGAGAGAGGCCTGTACCAGGACAAGGTGTTCTGCTTCGTCCACCTGAGTGTTCAGGAGTTTCTGGCTGCTCTTCATGTCCATCTGACCTTCATCAACACTGGAGTCAACTTGATGTCAGAACAGACAACATCCCGGTGGACTATACTGTTAAGACACAAAGCAACACATTTCTACCAGAGTGTTGTTGACAAGGCCTTAGAGAGTCCAAATGGACACCTGGACTTGTTCCTCCGCTTCATCCTGGGTCTTTCACTGCAGACCAATCGAACTCTCTTACTAGGCCTGATGACACAGACAGCAAGTAGCTCAGAGAGCAGTCAGAAAATAGCCCAGTACATCAAGAAGAAGATCGCAGAGACTCCCTCTGCAGAGAAAAGCATCAACCTGTTCCACTGTCTGAATGAACTGAATGATCATTCTCTAGTGCAGGAGACCCAACAGTCCTTGAGATCAGGAAGTCTCTCCACAGATGAACTGTCTCCTGCTCAATGGTCAGCTCTGGTCTTCATCTTACTGTCATCAGAAAAAGATCTGGATGTGTTTGACCTGAAGAAATACTCTGCTTCAGAGGAGGCTCTTCTGAGGCTGCTGCCAGTGGTCAAAGCTTCCAACAAAGCTCTGTATGTGCACTTATGTCCATCCACATTTACTGTATCTTCTCCTTTAGTCACGACATAAAACAAATTTTTATTCCTATTTTCTTTTTTCTTTGCTCATTCTTTTTCAGACTGAGTGGCTGTAACCTCTCAGAGAGAAGCTGTGAAGCTCTGTCCTCAGTCCTCAGCTCCCACTCCTCTAGTCTGAGAGACCTGGACCTGAGTAACAACGACCTGCAGGATTCTGGAGTGAAGCTGCTGTCTGGTGGACTGGAAAGTCCATATTGTACACTGGAAGGTCTCAGGTTAGTGTTAAGCTGTTTCGTACTTATGACCTGTTGTTAGCTTAAAGGTTCTGCAAAACATATTCAATGCCACTAGATTAGATCAGACCAAAACAAATGCTTCGTTGGCCACGCCTCCTTTCAGCGTTGCTGAACTGACTTCAGTTTAGATATTGAAACTACAGTGGAATGTGTTAGTTTTATGTGATCTTGCAGGTATGATATCAATATCACATCAACAGGTCTTTTTTCTTTATTTTTGCTGGTAGCTGCACATCAGTTCTCTAGATCATGCAATGCAGCCATGAGGCATGATCATGGGTCATGCAGGCAGTGTGTCCGCTCTAACCCGTTAACATGGGTGCTGAAATGAAAACCAAGGCATTCCGCAGTCGCCACGCACATGCCACGCAGCCAGTGTTTTTCTGGCCTTACACATGGAGGAGAAGAAAAAACAGTTCTGAGTCCAGCTGGACCCTTTAGCAGCCTGTAAGGTTCTTTCAGTTAATCCAGACCAGTATTGGCTCCGCGATCAGAATGGGAAAGAAATTCAGCCTTGGACTGATTCCCTGGGACCGGCTGCATGACAGCGACAGACTCATAAAGTGTATAAATGTGGGGGAGGGGCAGTGGTTAGGCTTAGGGTTAGGGTTAACAGAGAGGGACTCATATGCACTAACATGCAAACACTGCCAGACAGCTACCAAAACAAAGAACAGAGAAGCTCTGATTACAACACATACTGAGGGGGTGTGGCTGTTCTCTGCACAGGATGCAATTATTCCACTATTTCTTTACATAGAAAATATATGTTTGCTCCTGCATTATTGTCTAAAATCTTGTATATAACCTTTTAAAATATTGAGTATGTGAATGTTTTCCTGGAATTCCTCCTCAGACTGAGTGGCTGTAACCTCTCAGAGAGAAGCTGTGGAGCTCTGTCCTCAGTCCTCAGCTCCCAGTCCTCTAGTCTGAGAGACCTGGACCTGAGTAACAACAACCTGCGGGATTCAGGGGTGAAGCTGCTGTGTACTGGACTGGAGAGTTCATACTGTACACTGGAATGTCTCAGGTCAGGATTCATTCTTTTTTTGAACATTCAAGTAAAATATTGAGGCTTTTAATTATCGTTTATGATCTTGCATTACATGTTGGTTATAATGTTGAACTGAAGACGTTTGCAGACTCAGGTGATTGTCAGTGCAATGTTTTGGTTCAGAACAGTGAAACTTTTTAATATAAAACACAGATTAATCACAGTTCCTAAAGTATGTTCATCTTGACTCAAACACCTGTGTGGTCTCAAGAGAATAATCCCCATAACTAATGAAATAAACCACAGGTGAGAGTTGAAACATAATTAACTAATAATTTAAGAGCTTCAGGAGAAACTGAACAGAAGAACTAGGAAACAATGAGGACAATGAGCAGATGAACATATGGAGACTGAGGGAAAGACAGAGGCTTAAATACACAGGGGAAACAGGTGAAACACATCAGGGCATCATATCACATCATATTTCCCAGGATGATTAACACAACAATTCAGTCACAGACAAACATGAACTATGTTTCTCTTCCTCTCTGCTTTGGCAGCGGAAACAGTCTGACATTATTTTAATTTTTTTAACTGTCTCACATATTCAGAACAGTTTGTTCATCATCACAGACAAAAACAAAAAGCATTCACTCTATAGTAAAGACATTTAATTCTTCATCCACTCACATATTTTGAGTATTTGGAAATTATCTCGTGTTTCTACAGCTTCTTATTCTATTCTAGTCATGTGATCATGTACTTTACATTTCAACTTGTTGAAGGCTCATGATCCAGGGTCACCAGTGTTAGACTCAGTGAAGCAGGTAAAACTCCAAGAGAGCCAGACTGAGTTGAAGTAGCTTTGTGGTCCAGGTCTGACACAGAAGTCCAATAAAAACAGGGGTCAGATCAGACAGGAGAGACTCTGAGAAGGCTGGATACTCAGACCTGCTGTGTAATAAGCACAGTTCAGGGAAACTACAAAAGTTATCAGAGACTTTAGTTTTGTTTGTGAGTGACTGTCAGTGGAGGAAATCATATATGCAACAGCTTAGCATAGAACAATGATCCCTATTCTAGAGCTATGGACAGAAGACAAGTTTGAGTCAGAGACATTTGAGTCAAGACTATTTACATCAAATGTTTAACCAATCAGATTTGGTGAATACAGCTCTGCTCTGATGAAGCTTTCAATGAGCCGGAGCAGCGATTATGATTCTACAGAGAGCTAATCCCCCTGAACAAACACACATAAACATTAAATCTTAGCTCAGTCAACATTATGAAAAACCACATCAGGAGGAGGTTTGGGTGGTGGAGGATCTGCACAGCAGTGTTAAAATGTCCAAGCTGCACACCTGCATGAATACAATTGGATGTTACTGGGGACAGATGTGAATGAGCCAATGCATGTGAAGAATACTAGAAACAGCTGATACCAAACAACCAATATAACTACGACTTCAGTTCTGTGTCTGAACCAACACACAGCTTCATTAGTGCCAGTGACAGTTACAGTCTTGGTACAGTTGTTAACAAGTATGTATAGGTTTAACATGGAACTCGAACTTAGAGAGGTTCTGTGTGTGTGTGTGTGTGTGTGTGTGTGTGTGTGTGTGTGTGTGTGTGTGTGTGTGTGTGTTCAGTCTGTCAGGCTGTCTGATCACAGAGGAAGGCTGCGCTTCTCTGGCCTCAGCTCTGAGCTCCAAGCCCTCCCATCTGAGAGAGCTGGACCTGAGCTACAATCAACCAGGAGACTCAGGAGTGAAGCTGCTGTCTCTTGGACTGGAGGATCCACACTGGAGACTGGACTCTCTCAGGTATGGTCAGACAACAAGAACTCAGTCTCTGGAGATCTGTCTCCTTTCTTGTATTTCATGTTTCCCTGTTCAGGTCCATCATCATGAAAGACGTCTTATTAGTGCCTGAGCAGCAACTTAGCGAGGACTCATTGAGCTCGTATTGCGCTATTTGGGTGAGCCATAGATCACATAATAGGCATACATGAGGCTCTGTATCAGACCTTACAATGAAAATGTGATGTGAATCATATGATTGTCACATAAGAGTTACGTCATAATTTCAGTAGGTGGCGCTGTGGTTATATGTGTAATATTAGTATGCAGATGTCTTCATTGTGAGACTGTCATCAAACATGTAAAATTTGGTGAAGATTGGGCAAAGTATCATAGAATCATAACCACTTCCTATATTTCCATTAGGTGGCGCTATGAGTATTACTAAATATGAGCATGTACATATGTTCAGGGCGGGAGTCTCATCAAACCTATAAAGTTTCAGCCTGTTTGGACACTGCATGCTGGAGTTATACCAACTTCCTGTTTTATGAAATTTGGCGCGCCGCCACAGGCCAGTCCTTTGACAAAAACCTCAAAAGCTCTGCACTGTAGAACTGCACTGGTCTGAAGATGAGAATAAACCAACAATGATCTTGGAATTGGACAATGTGTCGCAGACATAAAGCCATGTGTGTGGTTGTGTTTATCTCTTCAGGGTTGGAAGGAACAGGGTCATTAAAGCGTCCAGAGACAAAACCTGTAAGTACTGAAACACTGTCTCTCTATTGAATAGGAGACAGCACATGCACAGTCAGATTGTATTGACAATACAATCACCAAAATATTTATAAATTAGATTTTGTTTGAGCTCTGGAAAACATTTTCATTTATTAAAGAACAACAGGCTGTTTTTTGAGGGGATTTGGAACCTTAAAGTCTAAACAGGTCCTGAATTTTAAGGACAGAATATAAGTGCATATTAATTAATGTTTCAGCTGTAATGTTTCATTCAAAAGTGGAAGAAAGTCATGTTTGTCAGCAGGTGCATACAAGACTGCAGCTGTGGTCAGAATGAAGCTGATATTTTTTCATGTTTTCTAAAACCAATTGTTTTTAAACGAAAACAAATTATGAATTTTAATGAAACAATTTTCATGCTTTGTAAATATTTTCAGTGAATGTGCTGGGTGATGCTGAAGATGATTTGTGCTCAGAGGATCCGTCATCAATAAATAAAGGTAAGAAAAACTGAGGTACTTTTTTAATAATGGCCTCTGTGTTAGAGGGAATGTCTGTGTTGTTTTCAGAGAAAACACTTTAAGTGTCACTGCAGGTCTGATCCACAAGCAATAGACCTGACTGCATCCCATCAATGCAGCCGATGCAGGAACAAAATACTGATACCTAAAAACAAATGAACTGCTGACATGGCGGAAACGCTCCTAATCATTCTCTTCAGATTTGACTTTCTACAGTACAGCTGCTGTTTATAGAGTATATACAAAAACAATATGTGGCAGCAGCTGGTGAGTTTCACTGAATAAAGGCAGCTACCAACAGCTAATATATCTATATTATAGACTGGGTTGACTCAGTAGCAGATACTTGGACCAGCCACTCAGGTTGATACACAGCCAATAGTAAACCAGGAACATCTGAAAGGAAAGTGATATACCACTTTACAATAAAGCTATGCTTACGAAGGATTTATAAATGCTTTATAATTAGGTTATTAATTCGGTTGTTAACACTTTATAAATCATAAATAAACAATTATAAATAAGTCGTAACGGTTTTCATACATTGATGCAGGCTCTCTATTTGGCAAATTTAACCTCACTACTCATTAATCTGACTAATGAGTTACTACCATTTTAACTGGTTAAAAGAGCCTTATAGTAACTCTTTAATAAATGTTAATGTGGTCTACACTTTATAATAAGGCTCCATTTTGCGGTTGGTGAGAGCATGTCAAGGTCAGCAATACTGCCAAGGCCTTAGAGGATGAACCTGGTCATTTCATATGATCATTTAATCTGTTTCGCCCATTAAGATACTGATGGTGGTTCATTACTAGTAATTGAACAAACGTGTTGAAGCAGCAGGTACAAATGCTGATGATGGAGAAAACAAAGAAAGCTCAGTAGCTAATGAGATATGAGGCTACATACATATAGATGTAGATGTAGATGTAGATGTAGATACATGTGGGCTCACTATTTGGTAAGCAACAGGTCACTGTCGCTCTTTTTATGTAATGTGTTATAACAGCATATAAATGATTTATAAAGTATTAACTAACAAGTTAATTAATAAACTACTTATAACCATTTTTAAATCCTTTATAAGGGTGGTCTGATTGTAAAGTGGTACCAACTCTACTCACATTCTTCGACTTCATCTCTGACTCAGACCTGATGAAGGGAGGAACAGTAAACGCTGATTTCTGACATCTGCTGTGTCTCTTCTCCCCTCATCAGGTGACTCTGATGTCACACTGGACCTAAACACCGCAGAGACAAAGCTGGATGTATCTGAGGATGACAAAAAGCTGATGAAGGTGAGAGATAAACCATTGTGTCCTAATATTCCAGACAGATTTAAGGGCTCAACACACAGCAGGCAATAGAAAACACATATTCAAAGAAGTCAACAAAAATCTCCTGTACCTGGGAACTTCTTCATCCCTTTGTACAGGTGGAGAATGAGAAATGCATAAAGTGCATTTACAGTAAAACATCTATTGTGTAGATTTTTGCATTGCGTGGTAGATGAGGAGTTTCTCAAAAACTGAACAATTTAAAAAAGAGACTGTACAGATTCAGCCCAATTTATGCCCCTAATTTGTCATCTCAAGTCATTTAAGAATCTGGACAAATTTCTGTCAGTTTGAGGTCACAATGTCTGATCAATCACCTGAACGATCATTGATCTGGTTTTCAGATGATTGCAACACAAGTTGGTTCTTTCTGATGTTGACAGCTAATGTTGTTTCTTTCTGAATCACAGCCTCCATCAAGGTTCATGCCTAAACTGCAAGCTCAATCTACACAAGTCTCATACAGGTAATCATATAATAAAAATCTCTCAACACTATTTTAGGCAAAGTACCTCCTTCTTCCCCCACAGCTTTCTTCCTTTGAGCCACATCAATCTCCCGATGTTCTCCCTGCAGTGTTGGTGGTCTCATGTATGGCTCTTGTCCCCCTCCCTCCTTCAAAAATGTGTTAACTGTTACAACCCCAAGGTCATATAGTGAGACTGTGTTTGTATACTGTGTATGTGTGTGTGTTAAACATCACTGTGGATCCTTCCTATTTCACTTAATTAACCCACATTTCCCTCACCTGCATGTTTTCCTTGCATCTTAATCTGTCCCATTTAGGACATGGGGAGAGAAGAACTGAGGAAAACACGTTTTTAGAGAAATGAGCCCTTTGCTCTGAACTGTCATCTAAAGCGACTTCAGCTTCTGATGACGACAGCAAAGCTGACTCAGCTGTCAGTCGGCCTTAACAGCTCTGATGTGCTTTTTGATCTTTCTGGTCTTAGTCAACACACATGCAGCTGAGTTTTGGAGCAGTTGTAGTTGGGGTATGCTTTTCTTTGGGAGACCAGAAAGCAGAGCATTACAATAGTCGATCCTGCAAGTAATAAAAGTCTGTACTGGCCTGAGATACTTGAGAAACAGTCATACTCTGGCAATGTTCTTTAGATGATAAAATACACTCTTAGTCATGTTTCTAATGTGGGGTTAAAACTGAGATCTGAGTCAAAGATGACCCTGTCTTTCACTTTTTTACTTGGCTTTCGTGTCAGTATTTGCAATTTGAGTTTCTCTCTCTGAGCTTCAGAACCAATGACTAAGACGTCTGTTTGTCTTGATTAACTGTAGAAAATTCTCTACCATCCATAACTTGATATCCATGATACAGTTAAAAAGGGCATCGTTTTGCCGTGGGTCATCAGGAGACGGCAAGATAAAGCTGTGTGTCATCAGCATAGCAATGGGAATTGATCCCGTGCCTCCTGACAACGTCTCCAAGTGGAAGCATGTAGAAGTTAAAAAGTGTCGGACCTAAAATTCAAACTTGAGGAAAACCACTATTCATTTTATAACTTTAGATGTACATTCATTCATGCTTACAAAGAATTCTCTATCAGTGGGATATGACTTGAACCAGTTAAAAACAGTCCCAGAGAGGCCAATAAGACTATCCTGTCTAAAGGAATGGAATGGTTGACGGGTCGACTATCAAAGGTTGCGCTTAGGTCAAGTAGTACTCATACCGATAGTTTTTTCATATCCATATTGGACCTAAGGTCATTTATAAAATGCAGCCAGGTTCAGCATGTCACTTTCAGTCTGAGAAACGACCATCTATCATTTTCCAGCAAAGGATCATGGCCCTCAACCATAGTCTGACTGTATGACATGTCTCTACCGCCTATTAGGAAACACTGAGATATCCCAACCAATATTTAGTCCTAATTATCTTGACTAAATGTGCTTTTAGACTGAGTGCAAACAGCATTTTTGCTTCACTGTACTCTCTAAAGTTCATGAGTATGTGTAAAAGGTTCATTGTGCTCATCCAGCCCTCTATGCCCTACAGGTTCAGGTGTCCTGGTCCAGGTGGGTTTCGGTGCACATCAACTGGACTAGTGTTTGTTATGGCTCAGGAGGCGGAGCTGTTCTACAGGACTATCCAATGGGATGACGGACTTCTCAAATTAGCTGGCAAGATGGCTGCAGGGCCACTGTTCGAAATCCAGTGTCCTGACGATGCTGTCTGTCAGCTCCACCTCCCACACTGTGAAACAAAAGATGGTGAGGAAATTATTGTGCTTTGTTTGAGCAATGATGAAACTCTTTAGTCCTGTTCGTGCCCCCTGTAGGCTGCAGTCTGTCACAGTCCAAACATCTGTCCCAACACCCACACTGTGGTATATGTCTGGTAACTGCCACAGCTTCCATTCATATATATTCATTTTGAGAGAAGCCACCAAACGCTGAAAATCTTTCATGTATAGCCAACCCAGCTTCTCCACCAACAAAGCTGACGCTATTAATCCCAACAGTCTGAGAAACAGACTGTATGTAACCAAGGCCACTGTATCAAGGAAGTACTGCGGTGAACTGAAGTTGGCAGCCTCTGGTTAGTGTCCTCAACATCCATTTTGACGCAGTGCACCTTTTCATTCTTTACTTTTGCAAAGTAAGAGAGGAGTGAAGCTCTGTTGAGTCCCCACAATCTTTGGGGAAGCCCTTTGGCAGTACTGTGCTGCCCTTTGGTGGCTGGCGGACTGCACACCCAGGTGCTACTGTGCATGCGCGTACTGATAGACTCGGGATAACTGGGGTGAAACAATTCACAGCAGAAAGAGCTGTGGCAGCATCATACAGGGAAACACTTAAGTGTTTCTTCCCTTTTCTTTTGTCACTTTTTCTTTTAAAATTCAAACACTGCACCCTTGGCTGCATGCCTGGATGCATTAGAGACCTTTGTTTGGACGGTGTGTGTGAGTGCTTGTGACACTTAAGTGTGGCAGTGGAATGTCTGACACTTGAACTGAGTCTCATGTGTCACCGTGAGGGAGGGGTGGCGCTGGGGATCTTCTTCTGCAACATAGGCAGCCAGAGAACAGGCTGAGGTTGTGCAGCCTCGCTGTTGCCTTTAGTAAAAGACAGGCACAAAGGGGTGACGGTCTGGGTCAGCAGGGCGAAGGAAGAGTCATCTTTGTCCTCCTCATCCAACACCAAGAAGTCCTAGCCAGTTGACTCTTCCTCCTCCTCATAATGCAAAATGAGGGGTTCCTCAACCAGTGGGTTCAACATAATTCCAGTGCTGAGCCCCAGCGGCAAATCTCTGGTTTGGAATGACACACAAGCTGCGGTTGTTGATGGTGGCCTGGGCATTTTCCAGCTAGAGGCACATTAAGTGGGGTGGGTGTGTGTCCTTATTTGAGATTTTCTTCCCACATGTGCACAGACAGGCTCTGGGATCACCTTAGTTTAGTTTATTTAGTTTATTTCGAACATGTGCGAGTAACACAACAAAGTAAACTGAAAAACAAACAAATCCAATAACAATAGCCAAAACAAAAATAATAATGTGAACCCAACATGTCCGAAAAGGAGTAGGATGAAGCATATGCTTATTTAAACCTACCCCTTCTCCACTACTCAATTATCAATCTTTCAAAAAAAAAAAGAAGTAGAAAATAAATAGATTAAATAAACAAATACATAAACCTTGCTCCATTGTGCGAGGTAGCATGGCAACTGAATTATTTTGCTGGAATGCTAAAAGGAGAACGGAAATTATTTGGAGTGATAATCGTCATTAGCTAGCTCTTGCGGCAGGTGAGCAGGAAGGTGGCTATGAGACCCGTTAACATTAGCATGCTTGAATTAGCCAAAACTAATGTTCTAGCTAGCTTGTAGAAGCCAAAAAACTCAGCTGTTTGGGGACAGGCCAGAGATGGCGGAACAACTACCTATGGTGAAGACAGTTGGAATGTTATTGCTAGCTGCTAGCGCTCTACGACAGAGTTGTCCAGTCCGGTCTAAGAGCAGTTAAGCTAGTTAGCTTTGATATACGTGAGATACACTTGGCTCCTGACGCAAGAAAAGGTGATTGAATGACAAGGACACTGTATCAGTAAAGGTGTGGGGCCGACGTGGACATCGCAACTGCCTGCCACTTGGAGCTGGCATAATGATACAAGTGCTTCTGAGAAAACATGAGGGAGTGTATCCCATAGTGAGACATTGAAATGAGTGCTAGGAAAGAGAACGTAAGTTATGAGTGTAACTATGAATGTCACGGTGCAGGTAAGGCTGGACCCAAATGCAGCCAACACAGGGGAATGATGTGCAAAAAATGTTTATTCACTGAAGAACTTACAAAACGGGTGAACAAACAGAGCAGGAAACTGAAGTACGAGGGCACACAAAGAACAACAACTGGAGACACAGGGGATACCACAGCCGCTAGAACAGGCAACATGAACAGACTGTGGACAAACCAGACATGAACAGACAAACCGACACAGACAAAGGAGAGCACAAAGACTATATAGACACAAGGGAGGCAAGGGTGATTGAACACAGGTGAAACACATTAGGGCGGGGAAGACAATCACCACACAGAAAAACAGGACCAAGACAGAAAGTAAAAACATTAAGACACACAAGGAAACCAACTACAAAATAAAACAGGAAGTGACAAAATCCAAACAAAAAAGCAAAAAGTGTCTGCCATGGCAAACCATGACAATGGATCTGTGAGACCCAAGGATGACCGTAACTATGGTCCAGATAGAATGATAACCTTTGTTCTCCCTTTTTTCAAGGCCATATGTAGGCTAAACAAAGTCATGCCCATGACCTGGAAGCGGAATTTCACGCACTATAAAAGCGGGAATAACTTCCAGCTCGTCTTCTTTCCTTGAACACCTCGTAGTGTTCCGAGCGACAAGGATATTGACAGTCATCCTTCAGTCTCACAGATCCATAGTTACATTCAGAACTTACGATCTGTTTTGACCTCACTCCAAATTTACCTGTGTACCTGTGACAGAAGATCTGCTTGGGATGACAGTTGCCACGGGTGACCCTGTAATAGCCGAATCAGGTCTGGAAACCAAGTGCCGTGGAGCAACCAGCAGAAATGTGTAATGACCTTCCCTGATCCTCTGGAGAACTTGAGGAATGAGAGGGAGAGGGGGAGAAGTGTACTTCAAGCCTTTCAGCCACTCTTGTGACAGAGCATCTATGCCCAAACTGCCCCCACGATCCCAGAGGGAGTACCATTCCAGGCAATGGGTAGTCTCTACGGATGCAAAAAGATCAACCCGGGCCACCCCGTATCAAGCCCAAATTTGTGCCAATACCTCTGGGTATAACCGCCAGTCTCCTGGGAGAGGCCCGGTCCTGGACAAAATGTAGGCCACCTTGTTTGTGACACTTGGGATATGGATTGCTTAGAGAGGCTAGCTGAGGCCATGCCCATGTCAGTAGCTTCTTTGCTACCTGAAGACTGCGCAGTGACTTTGTTCCACCTTAGTGATTAATATGGTGCACAGCAGGGGTGTTGTCCGTCCTCACCAGTGCATGCTGTTGTTGAAGACAAGGCAAAAACCCTTGAGGGCAAGATGAACAGCTCAGTTTGAGTACATTTATGTTATCCGATGACCAAGGGGGTTCCCACATGCCTCTAACTGTCCTGCCTTCCCACACGGCTCCCCAGCCTGTCAGTGATGGATCTGTTGTGATCACTTTCCACTGAAAAGGAAATCCCTGTCTCTCCAGGGGAGTAGGGCTTGCATGCAGGACTGCGTCACACGTAGCCTCATCCTTCTGTGCTCCTTTGGATGGAGATGAAAAGAATTCAACCACCACTGTATGGGATGTGCCTACAGCAGGCCCAAAGGAATCATCACCGATTCTGCTGCCATCAACCCCAGCAATTTCTGAACCCTGTGAGCGGTCACTTTCTTAACTTAATGCTTTCCTCAAACTGTCTACCCTCCAGGGAGTGAGACGTGCATTCACTGTGACAGAATTGAAGTGGAGACCAAGAAAGCTCATCTGTTGTCAAGGCTGCAGATTGCTATTTTCCAGTTCACCATGAACCCCAGGGACTGGACATGAGCCAGCACTGTCTCTGTGTCCCGGACTACCTGTTCTAGAGAGGCAGCACAGATTAACTAGTTGTGCAAATATGGCAGGATCTTGAGACCCCTTTTTTAGGGGGGCTAGGGCAGCCAATAAAGCCTCTAAAATGGCGCCTTTTTGCAAAGACCCTGCACTTCCTCCACTAATACAGGCTCTGGCAGTGGGTCCTGGGTCCTTGACAATAGTCATTCAGACCCCTGAAAGGGGGGGGGGGCTGTCAAAACTGCAGCCGGTACTTGTGGCTACTGTTCACAAAACCCATGGGTCTAACACACCCAACTGCCCCGTGAAAGTTGGGAGGGTCAGTCGATGGACAGCCCTTGACCCTGATGCAGGACTGCCATTGTGGCCTGCACCCCTGCCTTTCTGCGGACCCCCCCTCTTGGAACAGAGGCCTCCTCTGGGGGTTTGTGGCAGAGCTCTGACCATGGGCACGAAAACTCTGCTCCTGCCAATACACAGCCCTAAACACAACCCCACTGACTGCGAATAGCAGTAAGGAGAAAAATCAAGCCCATGTACCTAGAAGGCCCACAATAAAGCCGCATTTTGACCAAAAAGTACCTGAAAATTTCCAGGTACTTTTCTTCAGGAACTAAAGCCACTTTTCCACCGCAGGAACTTTCCCCAGGAGCCAGGAACCTTTTGAGGAACTATGAGCGTTATGAGCGAGCAAACACATTTTCCACACCACAAAACAGGTCTGGAAGAAGGTAAAAAAACTGAAACCGGACTTCAAAAAAATAAAGGACCACAACAACCGGAGAGGCTAGGGTTGCCACCCGTCACGTATAATATGGGATCGTCACGTATTTGAAAATAAACTGCCCTTTTTGATCGAAACGCTGCTTAAAAGGTTCCTGTGGCCCATTGTTGTCTGCATTTCCACCGTGGCCTAAAGTCCCAGGAAGATTATGCAAAATTATTACTTGACATTACATGATTCACAGCACTTTGAGGACATAACGTGAACGAAAATACAGGACAAATTGCGTCCCGTATATATATTCAGTAGCCTACAGGACGCAGCATTTTATTTTCAAATACGTGACGATCCCGTATTATACGGGACGGGTGGCAACCCTAGCCACCCCGGTTGTTGTGGTCCTTTATATTTTGAAGTCCTGTTTCAGTTTTTTTAACTTCTCCTGGGCCTGTTTCGCGCTGTGGAAAATGTGTTCGCTCGGTGCTCGCTCGCTCACTGCCGACTTTTAAACATCATGGGTGAAATAAAATGCAGCGAGTACTCGATCAGTCAGAAATGTTCAGCACTGCAGACTACACCCCCAAAGTTCCCTTGGAAAGTACTACCCCCCTGACCAGGTACCTTTTTCGGGGTCGATCAATTACCCTGGAACTAAATTTAGACCCTGGTTCCAACAGTGGAAATCCGCATAGTTCCTCAAAAGGTTCCTGGTTCTTGGGGAAAGTTCCTGCAGTGGAAACGTGGCTTAACCCCACCAACTGCAAACAGTGATACAGGGCAAAATACTCACCAACCTGCAATAAAGAAAATCACAAAGTGTCAATGCTAGCTAACCTGAAAGAAACAGCAATGCAAATAATTTGCAGCCATAACTAGCATGCTAGCAAACTAGCGCCTGGCTTACAGAATAATAAATGCAATAATAGCATAACATTACTATGCAATATATGGGAGGAAACCAACACAATTCCCAGGGACACAAGGCACCTGCACCCTATGGCTGATGAATTGAATGGTGGATAAAAAAAATTATCTCTTACCTGTACCTGGTCTCTGACGTGAGAAAGGCAAAGAGGATTAGCGAGAGGTTTGCCTCATTTGTATAATGCAGGAAGTTCTGCTTCCAGGTCATGGGCGTGACTTTGTTTACATATGTTCTCGAAAATAGGCAGAACAAAGGATATCATTCTATTAAGACTGTAGTTGGTCAGAGTGAGGTCGAAACAGACCCTTAGTTTGTGTGTGTGCAGTCCAGGATTCACACCTTATAATCACAGTCCTTTTGATGTTACTTTTCTTACAAGTAACAATCAAATACAAAACAAAATGGAAATTTTGGCTTTATGGCTTTTTTTCTCCAATTTGTCTGGTGTCCATTTGTTGATCCTCTGTAGCTATTTGACCCGTGGTCTGGTTGTACATCTCTCTGATTTGCTAAAAGCTCATCTGTTTGTTAGAGAGGGGTCCTTTGTCTCTGTTCCCTATCAATTTGATAGAAAACAGGATAGGATATTTTGACCTTCCACTGGAATTTAAACTTCAAAGTGGACACCAGAAGTAGCATTAACAAATAGCAGCAAGTTACTGGTTACCTGCAGCTGCACCTTCAAGACATAAAGGATATAGCCAGAGGTGGAGATAACACAGAAACATCAAATGAACTGGAAAATCCTCCTGCTCCCCTGAAGTCACCAGTGTGGAAATATTTGCAAATGTGTCATTTACAAGAAAACAAGTTTGTTGGTTGATGTGAAGGTAGCACATTGCAGTTAAACGAAGAGTCACTAGATGGCAGAGGGGTACCCTCTGTGATTTCTTTTTGTTTTTGGCTTTACAGTTTGGCCCCAGTTAACTGGTGAAATAAGTTATTGGTACATTTTAAATAAATTATTTAAATTTGACCATTTGTTGTACATTTCAAACAAAAATTGTAATTACAGTATCACAATTGATATCATGCAGCCTGTCTTGTAAAATGTAAAAAAAAAATATAAAAAAGATTCAAAAGTCAAAAATCAAATTGAATTGTGACCATTAAATCCAGAGTCAAATCAAATTGCAGTTTTGGAGAATCATGACACTCCTACTAGATATTGAATAAAATGATCACTACCATTGTGATGAGGCTGTCGTCAATAGATGTTGATTGTGTCTGTGTTTTTACAGCTCTGCACTCTGAAGGCCTGCTGGCTGTCCTCCACTTCACTCATGATGGAATGAGCATCCTCGAACCGCTGGAGATCACCGACACTCACGTTATTATCAAAGTCCCTCATCTCTCTGCGTTTGGCGTAGTCCGGGTTTTGGAGGTTTTCAAGAGGATTTGGAAAAAAATGAACCCAATTAGCGGCCAAGTGTTGCTGTTCCTCAGACCACCAAACCTCAAAACACAAAACCTCAATGTGCTTCTCCTGCCAAGCGACATCTTTCTGGAAGAGGTAAAGACTTGAAATGTTACACCTTCATTTTCAGTCCAAACTCATCAGTATCTATCAGATATCAAAAGACCAGTGAGTCACCAGGTGAAATTTTATTTTATTTTTTTCTCTGTTGAAAAAAAAAACATTTTATTGGTGAAGCTAAAGGAGGATAAACATTACATTACAGAACGGCAATTCAGTGTTGTGTGTGTGGGCTAGGAGAGGCTGTGGTGATGGGGGGTTTATCTTTTTTGAGCTCTACTGAGGATAGACCATCAAATTACAATGTTCTTGTATCTTAAGGTGTGGAGAAAACAACCAATCTCTGTGTACATCCCAGCGCCTTCCAAATGCGAACTCATTGAAAAAAGAAATTACACTGTTCACTGTCCGATGGCCTGTAAAATACAGCCTGAGGTGAGTATTTCAAATGAAAGGTTCTGTAAAATAGTGATACGATTCTTAAAACTTAGTTTACTTTGGATACTTCGAGACACTGATTACTACTACTGCTACTGGTTTTCAGAAAGCAAAGTTTGACCGGGATGTTGGACCAAATTACCATTCAACGTTTGAGATCCGCCTGCCTACAGACACAGAACAAGTGACTATAGCAGTTCGAGACGAAACAGATACAGATGTCTGGAAGCACGATGTTGACCTGACTGGTAAAGTCCTCATGTCCCTGCAGCATCAGTCCACCTGATAATAGAATAAAAAAGAACACAAGAGAATGGAGTGATAGTTATTAATTGATACATGGTGCCTTTATTCTTCTTCTGTCAGAGCTCATCTTCAGTGTGTTGTCAGCCAGTTGTAATGGACCAGGGCCAGTGTGTATAAAATTAGTAAGAAGTTGTTGTAAACTTTGACCTGTGAGTCAAAAAAATCTAAATATACACACACTGTGTGTACAACGACTCACTGGAAAGGTGATTGGTTACCTCATTTCTCAGATCAACAACGCTGACCATTAGTCATTAGTGATCAGAGTATGTATATATGTGTTAATATATATTCTTGTGTGTGTGTGTGTGTGTGTGTGTGTGTGTGTGTGTGTGTGTACTTGTGTGTACACTTACTTTTCTTGCTCAACTTATAGGTCTTTGCCCAGTATGGACTCCGACTGTCCTGGCATGGTCTCCCAGTGTCCCAGCAGGGACTCTGAATGTCCCAGCATGGACTCAGGGTGTCCCAACAGGGATTCCAAATATCCCAGCATGGACTCAGGGTGTCCCAACAGGGATTCCAAATGTCCCAGCATGGACTCAGAGTGTCCAAACAAAGACTGTTAGTGTCCCAGCAGAAAAGAACCTGGCGTCTGTTCGAACAGATTTCATCGACAGTGTGTCTGAACCTCTTCTACATAAGCTGCTGGATAAACTCCTGGAGTGCAAGGTGGTAACTCAGGATGAACTGGAGGATGCTGGAACACAGAAGACCAGGGCAGACAAAGCTCGAGTGGTGATCAATACGGTGCTAAGAAAAGGACCAAAAGCCTGTGCAGCTCTGATTGCTGCTCTCTGTGAGGAGGATCAGTGTCTTTCAACAAAGCTGAAGTTAATGTGAAGCAGAAACAGTGTCACATCTTTAATTCTTAAGTTTTACCTTTAAACTTTTTCTCTATTGTTTAAGAACATTTGGTAAAAACTTTAAAACTCTCCAAACATGAATCAGGGTTATCTATACTGTACTGGTTCACATGATAAATTCAGTGCAATGTGTATTTTCACAGCACTAATAACATCAGTGCAACAACAGACTCATGTCATAGAAGGGGTTTAATTTGGATGTGGACCCTGTGTTCTCTGGCCTGGAAAGGAAAATCTGTATATGTACTGTATATTTTTTATACATATGTGTATTTGTATATTTTACAAATGTAGCTGTACAGTTACTAAATATGTCTGTTCCTGGGAATTTAAGATCAACAAAGTACAGTTTGTATTATTACTTGTTATGTTGAGTGTGTTGTGGCCACATAGAGCTGATCTTGTAAAGAAAGTATATAACTTTAATTATTTTTAAAGAATAAGGACCTCAACAGCTATAGGTCGGCTGGCGCTGACATCTCACCTGATGAAGACCCTGGAGCAGCTGGTCCATCTTTGGCCCCTGGTAAGCCCATCGATGGACCCGCTTCAGTTTGCTTATCAGCCTGGCATTGGAGTGGATGACACTGTCATCTACCTAGCTGCAAAAGTCTCAGACGACTCCGCCGCTGTCGGCCTCATCACTGATGGGGACGACAGGTAGTACAGAGAACTGACCCAGGACTTTGTGGACTGGTGCCAGCAGAACCACCTCCAGATCAACACTGGGAAGACCAGAGAGCTGGTGGTGGACTTCCGCAGACAGAAACACACTCCTCCCACACCGGTGAACATCCAGGGAATGGACATTGAGATAGTGGACTCTTACAAGTACCTGGGTGTTCACCTGAACAATAAAGTGGACTGGACTGACAACACTTATGCACTGTGCAAAAAAGGACAGAGCAGGCTGTATCTGCTGTGGAGACTCAGGTCTTTTGGAGTGCAGGGGAAACTCCTGAGGACCTTTTATGACTCTGTGGTGGCATCAGCCATCTTTTATGATGTGGTCTGCTGGGGCAGCAGCATCTCCACTGCTGAAAGGAAAAGGCTCAACAAACCGATCAAGAAGGCCAGCTCTGTTCTGGGATGCCCCCTAGCCCCAGTGGAGGTAGTGGGCGACAGGAGGATGATGGCTGAGATATCATCCCTGTTGGAGAACATCTCCCACCCCATGCAGGACACTGACAGTACTGAGCAGCTCCTTCAGCGACAGGCTGCTGCACCCACAGAGTGTGAAGGAGAGATACCGCAGGTCTTTCCGTCCTGCTGCTGTCAGACGTTACAACAAACATCTTATCTTCCTTTTTTGGTTCTTGTCATTTGGCAATCTGTTTGTCTTTCTTTGTACTGTCCACTTTGCTGCTGTGATGCTGGAAATTTCCCCACTGTGGGACTAATAAAGGAACATCTTATCTGAAACACTGATATGAACATAATAAAACTATGACTGTGGCTGTTGTTAAGTATTGTTATGTTGTATGATGCGCTGTGTTTGTGGGCATTTGAAATTGTTTGCATTCCTTACTCTTGTTATTTTGTTTGTAAGTAATTAACATATTAAATGTCACAGTATAGGAAGTCATGAAGATGTGCAATAGTATTTTAAGTCATAAAAGTGCACCATGGTATATAATATGCAAGTAATTCAAAAAATGTCATAATGTACTATTTAATAGAAATAAGTAATAATAAATAAGTCAAACTATGTAATTAAAAACATAATTGTACAATAAGGTATAAAAATGTCAGTAAAGTATGTCATAGATAATGTCATAGTAATAGCATAACATTAAAATAACATAAAAATATTCCTTGGTATACTACTTAAAATATGTCATAGTATATTCAGTCATAAAAATGTCTTAACGTAAGTCATAAGAAATTCATATCATAGTATTCCAGAAAAGCTTGCCATAAAATAGTAAGTGAAAATATGCCATAGTATATTTTTAGATAGATGTGAAAGATATATACTAGTAGAATCTGCCCAAAAATATATAGATGAACAATATGTGATCTATTATAGTAAATCAAATTGTGCAATAACATAGTATGTCATAAAAATGTGCCACAGTAAGTCAAACTGTGTCATAGTATAGTAAATGTCATTATAAAGGATGTCATTATTAATGTGCAATGTGACATTGTGAGGGAGCTGGCAAGCACCCCCCTCACTAAGGTGAAAAACAATACACATTGGCTAATACAGGAAGTTCATTTGTGTTGTGCTTTTATTTTGGGAACCCCTACCAACCCCTCTCTCTTTGAGGTCTACTTCCAGGGGGCGTGTTTTCATTGAGCGCACACATGGGAATGCAGCCACCAGACTCAGCAGGTGTCAATTACCTTATCAGGCTGTACCAAGTGGGCAGGAAAAAGAGAGGGGAGTGGGTAGAGGGGTTTTAATTAAGTTTGGCTTTTGTTGGGTATTTCTTTAGTTTATTATGTATTTTATTTAATCTGTGTTAGGCCAAAAGTCAGTGTATGTAAATATCAGTATGGTTAAATTGTAAATAGGTATTCTAAATGTATGGTGCTAGTGTTTAGGGTCCCTTCACTATGTTATGTTTGGTAGAGACTAGGGGTAGTTACACCAAGTGGGAAAGCAGGGTAGGGTGTCAGAGAAGGGGGGTCAGGTTGAACGTCACCGGTGCTGCTGCTGCTATCCACTGTGACCTGCTACACCAGCCAGACTGCTTTTGTTGTCCAGCCGTTCTGCTACCTACTGTATATGTAAGAGCTGTTGGATTTTTTTGTGTCATTTGCCTTTGTGTCATTTACCAAGAGCTCTGAAACCAATCCTTGTGTGACTGATTCTGTTCTCCATCACGCTTGCACCTCAGTCCTGCTGGCCTTCTTCCTGGTTGTAAGGCTTCACCACCATCCAAACCTTACAGACATACACAGATACACACACATTTACACATCAATATATACTTATGTATAATATAAATACACACATTTCCTCAACATACGTAGATGCATTCTTACTTACAGACATTTCAACGTATATACATATGTACATGCATCATTACAAAATGGATACATACCTACATTCATACCTAAATACTTCCATTGATACCCACTTACATTCATATATTTACATACATACATACTATATACTGTGCATATTCACATACACTCATGTATATAAATATGTATATTCAAACTTTTCATATCGAAGCACACGTACATACATACATACATACATACAAACATCCTTACATACATATGTAGATGCCTATATACGACCATATCCATACAAAAAACCTTACCTGCCTTACCTCATCCTCGTCCTTTTCTCTTGTAAAAGTGTAGAATAAAATACAAACATGTTAAAACCAACAACATTTTAAATACATTTTTATTTATAATACTTTACCATAACACCAGCTTTAACTAGTCTTAACAATTTTAACTATCAACAATAAATGCACATAAATAATGAATTATAAGGAACATGGGGAAAACAACAACATGATTAACTGGACAGGGGTGAAGATGTGAAATGCTGCCCCCTATGGAGGTGGAGCAAGTAGCATGATTTTACACATTACACCTTTAACAAATCACAAGCTGGATTATAACATGTTACTGAACACTGTCTCCTGTCCAGTGGATTTATATTTTCAACATTCCTCTGGTAACTAATATCAAGAGCCACTGGAGAGACGCAAGGTGTAATCATCCTGCACCATGTCTGAGCTCTGAGGGTGCAGGATGAACTATGGACGGATGGATGGATGATGGATGAAGAATAGATGGATGGATGGATTGATAGATGGGTGGATGGATGATGGATAGATGGATGGATGATGGACAGATGGTATGGATTGATAGATGGATGGATGATGGATGTGTAACCTGCACGTCACCTTCCCCTTTAGTAGGGTTCCTATACTGCTGATCTTTGCTTAAGTATTGTTGAGTTTGTCACCTGAACTCGCGTGTTGGTTTGATGAAGGAAACAGGAAACTCATTCAAAGTTCAAATTAAAGCTAACAGCAATATAGCATTAGAAAAAGGAGATCGTTACAGAGCTCTGGGCCAAACTATCTCTCCCTGACAACAACATGCAGTTGTGGTAGTTCACAAAGTCTGACACTCTACCTCTTCCTGAACCAGTCTTTCATATTCTCACGTAAAGAAAAAAGTGATACAATGTGGGTTGAGTCTCTTATCGGTCCATGCCGCTGTCTTCTTGTTTTGCTCCTCCATGTGTTCAGGTTTTGTTTCACCTTGTGTTATCTGACTCCCCTACGCGGGACAGCCCTCGTGGCAATGGATCTGTGAGATTCACACAAAGAGAGACAATACCCTACTCTATTCCTCGTTTTTTGTCTTACTTCTGTTCCAGGATGTTTACCATATTGCAGTTATAAGCAGATTATGATTACATCAACAATGTACACATTGTTTTATGAAAAGCAAACAACAGATTAAGATAAATTCATCTACAGTATCTAAAGTATTTAAATCTGGGGTTTTCTGAAATACCTCAGACCAAAGCCATCACATGCCAATATGATTACAGGTTTACTCAGGTTCTAAGTTCACTATTCACTAGGTTCGGTAAGGAGATTGGCAGTAACAGACTCTACGAGGAGAGGCATAAGACCTCCAACCCACACGACACACACAACCACTGACTTAGTAGAAAAAGATGGAGAATGTATTTATGAAAATATCATATCATAGCATATCACTTCTCAAATACCTTCTTCATATACATTCAAGTACCTCTTCAAAAGAACAAGATTGTTTGACCCAAATCTTTAACTCAAAATACCATAAAAATAGGATAACAAATGAATGGTTCACCAAAATTCATAGTGGTTAGAAAATAAAGGAATATTCAATTCTCAGTGCTTCATACACAAATTAAATGTATCCACAAGTGGACCAAAATACACTTATGTTTCAGTTATCAGTTTAATTGTCAATTTTAATTTTTCCCCTTTAATTTTCAGTCTCTCTTGGCTTCAAGAACAAAAAAATGACCTGAGATCTCAGTGGAAAAAGTACCAAAGAAAAATAGAATAATTCTCCTCAGGTTGAGTTCCTTTGATTTGGTCCCTACTGTCCCTTGGACTGGCACAACCCACACTTGTCAGCGTCCTGACAAGATGAAGGCATCCACAACGGTGATGGCGATCTGGACCAGAAGACAAAGCAGCTCCACCATGTCACAGATAGAATCGTCCCTCAATACAAACCAGCCTACACACAAGTGTGTACGACAGTTAAAACACAGTCTGTATTTTCTGGTTTTCACTATCCATTGTTTTAGAGTTACCAGAATAAAATTGGCATAAACACAGAATTAAACTTTAACTATAATAAACATATTAACTAAATTATCTCTTCTATGTACACACACTTTTCAAATAAACCCACATATCCAGTCAATTTATATTTTATAATACACACATCAGTTTAAACACATTCCAATTAGGCACAACTGTCCCATGTGTCATCTCAGGCTACAACAGCAGCCAGTGACATTACACTACAGTTAGCTTAGCGCTAGGCCGCAATGCAGCATCAACTAAGTTTTTTTCCCCCACATCACACAAATATATCCTGACTGGTTTTAAGATCTACGTGTATTTCACGGTAAAACATCACACCAGTAAATTATTTTGGAGCAAAACATTGATGCTAACTCACCAGGATACTCCGGTAATTAGAAGAAAACACCCGCCAGAGTTTCTCACGTGCTCCTCTTTCCACAGCGACCGTGCAGCTTGCAGTAGTTTTCTCTCTCTCTCCCTCTGGCGATACGCCAGTTCAGTTTTAACTTATCTGAATCTTACTTGAAAATACTTATTTCACTCTTTTCAACAAAGACAACCACGTCTGCGTCGCGTATGCCACATCATTGAAGGGAGACTGGATACTTCTCTGCACGCAGCCGTCTAGCTGACCTGCCTGTGATGCATTCAGGGAACATCAGTAATTTACAGAGTTTACTGATTATCTGCATAAGTGGCATTTAGGGAAATCTATAAATGAAGCTACAGAAAATAACCTGGGTTACAGATGCATGGATGGATTGATAGATGGATGGATGATGGATGGATGGATGATTGATAGATGGATGATGGGTGATGGATTGATAGATGGATGATGGGTGATGGAAAGATGGATGGATGGATGGATGATGGATTGATAGATGGATGATGGGTGATGGAAAGATGGATGGATGGATGATGGATAGATGGATGGATGATGGATCATGGATGGATGGATGATGGATGGATGGATAGATGGATGGATGGATGATGGATCATGGATGGATGGATGGATGGATGAATGATGGATGGATGATGGACAGATGGATGGATGATGGATGATTGATGGATTGATAGATGGATGATGATGGATAGATGGATGGATGATGGATGGATTGATAGATGGATGATGATGGATAGATGGATGGATGATGGATA